GATAGAGCTGGGCATCATCCGTGTACATGTGGAAGTGATTTCCACGTCTGTGGATGATGTCCACAGATAGCGAAGAAGGGAGGACCAAGGATAGAGGCTTGAGAAATGTCTCGTGACAATACGGTGGCGTGAGGAGAAGCCGTTTGAAGAGGCAAAGTGAAGACACAAAGGTAGGTAGAGGGAATCCATGAAAGGACAGAACCTCACAATATTTAAAAATTAAAAAGATTTTGAAGTACTTTACTTTTAGACAAAAAAAGACTAAAATTCTAACCTCTTGGGATTCAGAAGAAATGGTCGTCTCCTCCAAGTCCTACTGAGATGTTTGCCTAAGTGCTTGAGTTCAGCTCCCTGTTTGTCTCAATGACACAGGCACAACTGTGTTGTGTGAAGTTGCGCTGTGCAGTAGTGTGTTTCACCATTCTGCGATGGTTTTAATTTTAAGTCAAATTTGCCCAACTTGTGTAGGCTTTTAAATAAATGAACTTCCAGAAGAATTCAGAAGATTTTTCATTTGTAAAAAGCATGTAACTGATGAAAATCAGTGCAAGTTAATTCAGTATTGGCAAATCAATATTGTATATATAATGCAGAATTGTAAAAGGTGCATTGAGCTGGTCCAGAGCTATAAAGGAAGTTCTTGTTGTCAATTGAACCCAAAGTTCACAAAATTTGAATATATTAAAAGGAGACAGATCTTTATTATGCTTTTTTTATACGATCTTGGCACTCATGGATGAAGCGAGACACTACACAATAATGTCAGCACAAAGAAGTCAATGCAACGATTTGTAACAGGCATTAACATTTTCAATGCTAAAACTACAGTGGAATGCCCAGTGTCTACACTAATGGGCACTGACCCCCTGTGGTTGTAAATAATTAACAGGTCATTGCCTTAAATTAAGTGTACAGTAGTATGTTAAGTCTTCTGTTTTGTATATAAATGGAAGCAGATTGATTTTTTTTCTGAATGGTGAGTGTTTTATTATGTTCGCGTGTTTCTAAGTGTGGTGAGTTTTGTATTCGGTTTAAAATAGAAACCCAGAGGTGTAGTCCTAAATGAATGATTAATGATCTTTACGATATTTGGATGCGTAAAAGTTCAAGTTAAGCGATGAAGTACAATTTCGAATGTTGTACAATATCCAGAAAAAATAATGGGCAAGTGGGAAAAATACTCGAAAGGGGGAAGAGGAGACAGAGTCTTGGGTGAAATAGCATGGAGTCTGGACATCTTGCAGAATGAGTTTTAAGAATTTTTAAAAATGTATTTAAGAGCAGAATTTCAAGGGAAGTAATCTCAGGATAAATACACATGCATTGTACAGGACTTGGACAAGACAAAAAGATTTTAAGAAGGGATTGTAGGAGGGATGTTCTTGGAATTATTCTACAATCTCCACCGGCACCAGCCAGGGGTTTAGGATACCAAGAACAGACTGCTCAAACACTGTGGAATTAGGAAATTAGGTTTACAAGTAATTACCGAAAGATAAATCACTCATTAAGTAGTAGAAGCAAAGAGACTGAACAAGACCTACTTTACACAAGTATGTTGAATATGTAGATTCACAACCCAGGAGGCAGTAAAGCAAATTCACAAGGGAATTAGATAGTTATTTGGTGAAGAAATCAATTGAGGAGCATGAGAGATGGAGTAGAATATGATTTTTTTTACTTTAGAATCATCTCTCCATCTGAACCATTCTTGGGATTTCAGATTTGAATGTGAATTTATGGAATTTAATGCATCTTGAATTTACTCTACCAACTCTACCTTTCCTCCTCTACCCTCAACTCCACGACCCCCGATGTCCTGACAGCTGTCTGTCCGACATCGAGTCCTGGACGAGAGATAACTTTCTCCAGCTCAACGTACGCAAAACTGAGGCCCTCCTGATTGGCTCACGTCAGCACCTCCGCACCTCAGGCGCTGACAGCATCAGCATCCAAGGCTGCACTCTCCACCTCTCAAAGCCAATCAGGAACCTCGGGTTCTGTTCGACCCTGAGCTGTCCTTTCTCCCCCATATCCGCGCCACAACTGGCACCGCCTTCCATCACCTCCGGAATGTCGCCAGACTACGCCATTACCTCACCCCTCACGCGGCTGAAAATCTGGTCCACGCCTTTATCACCTCAAGGCTGGACTATGGGCACTCTCTCCTCACCGGCCTTCCCAGCCCTCCCTCCACACTGCAGGTCATTCAGAACTCTGCAGCTCGTGTACTGTCCCGCACCAGGCTTCGCGACCACATCACTCCCACCCTCGCTCCCCTCCACTGGCTCCCCATCCCCCAGAGGATCGAATTCAAGATCCTCATCCTCACCTACAAGGCCATTCACGGCCTCGCTCCCTCCTACCTCTCCGACCTACTATCCCCCTACCTACCCGCCCGTACCCTCCGTTCCTCTGGCTCCGGTCTGCTCCACATCCCCCGCCCCAACCGCCCTACTATCGGTGGCCGGGCCTTCGGCCTCTCAGCCCCGAGGCTCTGGAACTCTATCCCCCAGTGCCTTCGCCGCTTCCTCCCTTTCCTCCTTCAAGGTCGGTCTCAAGACCTTTCTCTTTGACCGTGCCTTCAGCTCCGCTCTCGACTCTCTACCCCCTCCTCGCTCCCTCCCTTCCCTCTCCTCACCCTGACCATTTCCCCCTTGCTCGGGTCCTGACCCAACTGTACAGCGCCTTGGGACGTCCTCCCGACGTGAAAGGCGCTCAATAAATGGAATCTTGTTGTTGTTGTTGTTGTTGTAAGTCCTTGGACTCACACAAGCTGAAATTTCTGAAGATTGCATTGCTGAATCTTGGGCACTTTCACCGCCCTCCACCCCCACCCCCCACACACTTTTGTTTTAGTCAACCAGACTTTAACTATAGCTTGTCATGAAAAGCATGTGCAAGTCTCCCACTCTTCGTCCAGGCAAGAATACCCTAACCATTAGAATTTTGGCTTGCAGTCTAAGTGAGAAGAATCCTAGCCCCCAGTGATGGTCTTGTCCTTCCAAATCTTACTGATCAACCGATGAATATGTCAGAATACCTATACAGGCTACTTCAGTAGTTTTGTGTGTTTTGCATTTATATATGTACCGTTTGCCTACAAATGTAGTCACTATGTTTAATAGCAATTACCTATGAAATGCTTTGAGACATCTTGATGTTATAGGTGCTATATCAAATGCTAATATTATTAATATGGAGCAGTATTCTGTGCTTTGTGTGATATCAGAGACGGTTACAGTGAGGGATGTGTTATAATTAAGGTTCATTAAACTTGTTTTATTGCTGTTCACAAATTGTCTGCTGCATTCCCCTACAAAATACAGTTACTACTTTACAGTAAATCATGTGAAGTACTCGAAGACATCCTCCCAACATGAAGGGTACTATATCAAATGTAAGGATTATTATTACTTACGAATTTTGACCGTCAAATACCCTTTTTTGTGTGTCAGCCTGGCGCAGCGGTAACACTCACAGAATATATGTGGGCTCAAGCCCCACATCGACACTTGGAATCACGTAATCTAAGATGACACTCCAATGCAGCCCTGGGGTGTGTTGCATTGTCGGAGGTGCCATCTGTTTGATGAGATGTTAAACCGAGGTCCCATCTGCCTGCTCAGATCCCATGGCCGCTCAGATCCCATGGCACTATTCAAAAGTAGAAGGGAGTTTCTCCTGGTGTCCTGGCCAGCAATCCCAATTAAAATTGATCACTCATTCCATGGCTGTTTGTGGGACATTGCTGTGGACAACTTGCCCGTGTTTCATCCAAAATTCACAGTCAATCCACTGAACAGAAAATCCTGTGAAGCGCTTTGTGACGTCTCAATGACACAATATCAAATGCAAGGATTATTATTTTTATTTTTTGTGAAAGTCAATTGGTAATAATCAATTTTCTGCCGAATTTGAAAACCTTTTTATCAGTGCATGTGCAGCATGACCTAGGAATGAGCATTTTTTTTGTGAATCTAGTTGTGTACATAGTTGCTAGTTAGGTGTCAGTGACCTTGCCCAAATGCTCACCGTTTTATTTTTTGCTGGACTTCAAAGACAAAGATTCTTATATGTTTGTACAGTGTAGGGTTGTAAATATAGAAAAAGGTCACAGAAAGATACAGAAAATTAGAAATGGGGAGAGAAGCAGAGAGAGAGAGAAAATGAATCAGAAAGAGTGGCAGAGAGAGAAGCAGAGAGTGTGACAGAAAGAAAGAGAGGCAGAATGACAGAAGCATTGTCGTAGTGTGTTCCTATGCTGAGTTACCTCCAGTCATTTACTTTTCTTCTGCCAGTGTACTCTTTCCCTCAGGGGCTCTTGATTCTGTCCTTCCGTCCTTATTTTCTTGGACTGTGACTCTCCCTTGCCTCTGCTTCATTATTCGTTGTCCTATTAAATTCGGTTGAGTGAATACATGTTTCCCAGAGGCATTTTCCTGCCTAGCCTGGTCTGACCCTATCTCATTGACAGGTATGAAAACAACCTAAGTGGGAAGTTTTGAGAGTTCAGCCTGAGCCGACGGTCTGGCTACCAATTGCTATCTTCCTTGTCCAGGTATTACAACTTTCATCTGCGCAGTATCACAATATAATAGCACAGTAAGCATGGTTTTATATCTATGGCCATGTCTGGAATCTAGAACTACCAGCAAAAGGAGGATAGGTGCAGGAATTGCTGACTATCAGTGTAACGTATTCACTGTCTAGAGCTTCAAATCATATTCCCCCTTTTGAGAATCTCTGTGTTAACCGATACTGAGCTTCAGGATTTGAATTTGGGAAAGCAGTGTTAGAGACAGAGTGTGACTTGTTACGCAGCCAGATTAATGGAATGATCACCTGGATCATCTAGGTTTAGACACACAAGAAGAATAATGATCTGTGAATTTTGTTATGAATGCTGTGTTCTAAATGAAGTTAAAGTTTTAATGCTACTCCTTGTAAAGAGGCATCAGAGACCAACGGGCTAAAACGATGTATCTTTTTGTTTTCAGGAACTGAAATTGAGAAACCGAGAATTAGAAGCCAACATTCAAGATCAGTAGAAGACAGTGGAATATTTATGGCACAAATTGGTAATTTATGACATTTATTATTTGAGAAAACTAAATGCGCCTAGTTACAACAGTCATAGTGATCAGCACATGATTAAAATCTTTGTTTACCAAATTATGAAAATATTATTCCACTGGAGATAACGGCGGGGCTGAAGCATCTTTCTGAGAAGCATCACGAAGATTGAGTCTAAAACTGGAACAGAAAATTGATCTTTGGGAAGCAACAGGAGCAATGTCATTTTGACAGCAACATTTAAAATTTGAAATGTTTGATCACTAGCATTCTAGTAAGGTTGTAACTCCGTTAACTTTAACTTCAAAATAGAAGTTTTGAGGATGAGCCAAGTTGGACCACAGGAGTATATTTCCTGGTGCTGTACATACTTGTGTATTTGTACGCTTTTACAAGGGATTACAACAATCTTATAAATTATAAGGATTTCAACGTTTGAAGTCCTGGATGAGAACTAACGTTTTCAGTGGGCTCTGATCTGCTTCACATCCTCTACCTCCCCGCCCCACCATTGGCAGGTGGGCCTTCTGCCACTCTGCCCCCACCCTCTGGAACTCCATCCCACAGTCCCTCTGCCTCGCCCCCTCCGTTGCCTCATTCAAGATCCATCTCAAGACCTTCCTCTTCGACTGTGCTTTGGATTACCCTACTTCCCCCCCTGCCCTCCACCCTCCCCAATCCTGACCCCCAGCTCGCGTCCGAAACACTGACTGTCCAGCATCTTGGGATGTCCTCCCAAGGTGAAAGGCTCTATACAAATGCAATTTTTTGTTGTTGTATTTTAGACCAGTATTTTGCTGTAAATTGTCAACATATCAATACTATTGAGAAGATCATCTCACTGCCCTTCGCATGATAAAAGATTGATTTGGATGAAGCAGTCTAGTTATTATTGTTATTGCGCTAGTTACAATTTGACTGGAGCCATGAATTTGAAACCTAAATTGTTGAAAACCTCATCACAAGCCATTAAATCAAATCTAAATGTATAGTGTAAAATGGGTATTAAAAAAGCTGGTCATTATTGTAGTTCCATCAAGTGTGAACGAGAAGTTAGAATTGGTAGACATACCAGAAATAAAAAAATTTCTGGAACAAATTTTAGTTTGATAATGTAACTGTGAACTTTCATTCTCTCAGTGTGCACTTGAGCTACCCTGTGCCAAGTAATTAAGGGTTTAATACTTTATAAGCTGGCTCAAACTTTAGCTGTCTGACACCTTTATATCCTGCTGTCAGGTAGGTTAGAGCAACTTTGCATGGGCAGCATGGGAGTGGACAGATGTTTCCACCGGGAAGCCAAAGCAGAAACAGCAATGCAAGGACAGAGGAGCGTGACCAGTGGAGCAAAAATGTCAAATACTGGAACATCTGCAGCAAGCAGCCCAGAAAGTGGGGCATCAGATCCCATTTGCATTATTATTGAAAAGAATAATATTTTTTCCACGTTGACTAGTTCCCCTTTAAATAAATAGACCACAACAACAAAAAAAGATTGCGTTTGTATAGCGCCTTTCGCATCGGGAGGACGTCCCAGGGAATTGGTTTCAGTTACAATCCTGAATTCCTTGGAAGGGTGAAGTTAGGAAATGTAAGAAAGTGAGATGTTTATTTGAAAAATTCCTTTGGAACCAGTTAGAAGATGTATTTGCCCCTGAATAGTTTGATAGAGAAGAAAAGTTTTGCAGTAGAAAACTTTATTTTCCAATTAACAATTTGTATGTAAAAATTAATGAAACAGCAGATATAAAACTGAAGAAAAATGCTATTAGTATAGTACATACAGATATAATGCATAACATTAGGCAAATGTAATATTGTTCAGATATATTAGCATTTATATTGCTTCTTTTCTTGATTCTCCTAAACACAGTCTCTCCAAGACAATCTGCAATATTGAGGTATATCAAATGGTATATTAATAGCTGCTATTCAATCAGTATTCAGCAGATTCCATGCTGCATAATAATATTAACTGTTCAGATCACAGTTATGCAAGTTGTTTAGTTTTAAATTACATTGGCATAACATTACAATGAATACATAAGTGAAGTGGCTATGTTGTGCAGTATGTGGATGAATGTTCCTGTGTCATACAATGATGAGGAGAAAAAATAATCCATGTTTGTAGGTACTAGTATGCTGTACCGTGTTGAAGAACAAATTAATAATATTGGGTGTCAATCACTACTCTATATACATGTTACCTCCCAATTTAACCTCCTAATCCAAATTTACTCCCAAATTCAAATTATTCAATACAGTTTAGATTTATACAATGCCTTTCATGTCAGAATGACATCTCAAAGTACTTGACACTACTGACTGGGCACCCAAGCTGGGGATGTGAGCTGTGGTGGCTGGAAAGGGGAACGATGACCAAAAGCATGTCAAAGAGCTACATCTTAAGATGTACCTTGATTGAGATGAGGGAGGCAGTGGGTCAAAGGGAAGGTTAGAGTTCAAAATGGCGGGGACAGATTGGTTGAAAGCCCATTCATCAGTTGCGGGAAGAGAGGGCGGGAGACATGAAGCAGGCTGCTTGTTTAGCAAAGAGAGTGGCTGGATTGGTAGGCAGAAGGAGGTAGGGTGGAGTGAGGCCAATACAATAATAATCCTTGCATTTCATTTAGCTTCTTATCATTTCAAAATACTTCACAGGATATTCTGTAAAATGTTGTGAAAGTGAATGCGAATATTTTGTGGGTGAATGCGGCAGCCAATCTGCTCACGACAATATCCCAAGGAAAACCGTGGAGTGAGTCACCAAAGATTGACAGGATATAGGATTGTGTCCAAAATTCTCAAATGGTTTGTTTGATCACTGAGCAGAGGCCTACTACTTTGTTCTAAAGAGGCAGAAAAGTCATCAGAAGTGTCACTTTAGGTTCCTATCCCTTCTTATGGAAAGTGGTAGATGTCATTGACAGATACTTGGAAGCAAATTGCCTATATGCCCTCAAGCAGCAATGATACCCAGCGAGGTTGGGACACTAACATCATGTGACACAAACACGTCAAGGGATAATTTTTCTGTGATACGTATTCTTTTTCTTCGTTGTTTTCTGATTAGCAGCAATTTAAATGACGCTCCATTTAATATCGTTCTAAATATGTTTGCACAAGGAACAATGAGGCAAGACGAGCAAAGGAAATGTAATTGTGCTCGTTGGTGACGGATGGTGCAGTCAGTCTCTCTCTTGCCTGCTTCTGTGTGGCACCAAATGATTTGTCATCCAAAATCATTAAGTGTGATTTGTTTTACTCCTTTCTAGGAGATCCTGCTGCCGAAGAGTGGTCTCAGTGGAGTGTGTGCTCACTGACATGTGGGGTGGGGTGGCAGGTGAGGACGAGATCGTGTGTGGCCTCACCCTATGGGACTTTGTGCAGTGGTCCATTAAGAGAAACAAGGATTTGCAATAATACAGCCACCTGCCCAGGTAACGTTTGCTGTGTGATTGAATCTTATACCATCATTTTGTTTGATATTCTCGAGTTTAAGAAAGTTAACACGTGCTGGCGTTCACAAGCATTGCCAGCCGATCCAAACAGATCAGGTACTCAGTGTTTCCATTAACATCAACAACGTACATTTATTTATGTCTCAAAGACGTGATTAGGCGCTGTATCAAATGCAAGGATTATTATTATTATTATATGGGGCCCTACGTGCCGGACTGCATCTCAGAAAGCTTAAGGGAGCATTAAAGGAGAACTCTAAACACATTTTTAAAAAATTAATGGATCATCTACAAAGTAATGTTGCCTGTGCTAAAGAGAAGACCAAATTTTGTCATCTATTTTGTTCACTTCCAGGACATCTGTGCACGGAAAGGATCACATCATTGTGCCCGACTGATTCTTTGCAGCTCTGCTGTTACAGCTGCAGAGATAAAATAATCAATCACCTTAATTATACAGCAAGTTATTTTCTATTGTGCTGAACATAGCAGAATCATTTGGGCTTGATTGTTTAAATGATGCTATTCTTCAAATTTTGAGCATAGGAGTACAGAAAATACAATCTGCAGAAAGAGACAATGTGGTGTAGCACAATGAGGCACATGTAAAAAAAAATTGCTTCTCAAGTGTTCTAAATTCTCTTTCACCTAAGGCTCATTTATTGGTGAACCTCTTCCAAGGACACGGGTAGAGGTGAAATGTCAGTGCTTTGGGTTTAAGCTTGATTTCTCCACCGCACGCACAGCTGTACCGAGAGGAAGGAAATGGGGAAGGTGAGGAAGAAGTAATGAAAAGAAAAAAAGACTTTCGAGTCTGTCAAACTTGCCCCTCATTTAATTCCATGTCAGGACCAGTTACACCAGTGTTTCCCTTGGTGCTGATCTGTCAATAATCATTCTTTCACCTGCTAACAAATATTTTGATTCACGATCTGTTGAGGCCAAGAATTAAAATCATTCCAGAGTTCTCCTTTAAAACAGCTATATTGGAATATTAGTTTCAAGATTCAAAGCAGCACAGCCATGTCTCTTGTGCAGTTACATTACAAAATAATGTACAATCAGTATTAGCACTTCACTAGAATGTCCTCATAATATTAATCAAAGGAAACAACAGAGTATCATTTGAATAAAAGGGAAACAGAAGACTTTTTTCAATGGAAGTGTGTTTGACCTTAGGTCACTCCATTGAAATGGCAGCATTGAAGTTTAATACAAAAAAAACACATACTCTTTTGATATACACGTAACGTATGTTTCCACTTCCATTCCAAACATTTTGTTTCCTCCTCCTTCCTAGATTTCCCTGTTAAAATACACACTATTTCCATGTTGTGAGAGTGACTTGGTGACCTGTTTTTGTTGTTGCATCTCTCATGGCAACTTTTGCAGTGGCAGTGATTCCAGGTGAAATTTCCAAATCATGAACTGACTGAACTCTATCTTTGGGCACCATGCAGTTACAGTACATTTTACAAGTTTGTAAGAGAAGCGCTTCATTACACTCCTTTGAAGACAAGGTAGACATGGTTTGGTACAGTATGAAGCAATTATTTTTACTTTCCCTGGCCCTCTCACAGAGGAAATGCCTATACTATTGCCAAATTAAGGATGATTTTATGCCTTTTCTAGCTCATGCCCCCCAAGGGACAAGTTTGAGACTCTTCAAACTCATTTGTAACTGACAGATTTATATAGTTTCACAGAATCATACAGCACAGAAACGGGCCATTCATCTCAGTTTAGTCCGTGGAAGTGTTTGACCTCCATTCAAGCCCTCCTAATCCCCTCTCTTATACCTTTCTCATTCATGTATGTTTTATCTTCTTAAATTTTGTTGATGGTTTCAGCTTCCTTTTAAATCTGCTCCTGGCCATCTTATATTTATGCCCTCTTGTTTGAACTCACTGACAAATGGAACAGTCAATTGTATAAAGGAGATTTTCATCCCATCGATTGGTCTGAATTTGAACCCAGGTGTTAGGGATAAAACAACTGTGGGTGAGGGGAGAATCAGCTTTCATCCTTTAACCACTACTCTGCAGTGTAGTCATAGTGGAATGTACCAGATTGACCCTATACTTGTGAAGAACGTCTTGCCCTTGTTCCCATTAATGGCATGAATAAGATCTGAGGATTCAATAGACTGAACTTCCTCTTGCAGCTAACTGTCTGTGTTTGCTGATACAAAGGAGTACAAACTTGAATTGTACCCTGTGTGTCCAAACTCTAGTGTAGCAGAGCATACTGTTATTTTGCTCTGGATTTAATATTGATGGATTAGTAGATTAACGGTCATATGGATTAAAGGCTCACTAAAATCAATATTGCATCTTTAACACTGCATCAGCCTTTCAGTTTAGTCTCAGAAGTCTTAAGCTGTATTGCATAGGCAGTCATTTCAATTTCAAAGGTATTCTTCACGGGTTTTCTTTGTGACATTATTAGTTATTGTTCCTCTTCTGAATTTTAGGAGAGTTATTTTCAGTCAAAAATTAGGTAAAATTTCATAGTGCATTGAGCATAATGAGCCAATGATTGCCTTTTGTGCTCTACAATTCTATGATTAACCTAATAGTTTTAAAGGAGGTAAAATAAGTTTAAAATGATTTGTCCTTTCTTCAATACACTGACCATCCGCAATTTCAGTAAGAAAGTGAACAGAAAAGCATAGTCGTCGTCTCTCATTGTCTAGTGGGTCGGTCAGTCATCTTCAGACTCAAAGACCCGCCTTTGTAATCATAGGATTCTGTAGTGATAGATCTCTCGTGTGGTTTACGCTGTGTTGTAGTACACGGTTTGTGGGAAGAATGGTCGCCATGGAGTTTGTGCTCAGTTACCTGTGGGAGAGGATCGCGAACAAGATCACGAATTTGCAGTGCTCCGCAACACGGAGGGAAATTATGTGAAGGTCCAGAGCTCCAAACCAAGCTCTGCAACATTGCACTCTGCCCTGGTTGGTATAAACATTTATTTTAATTTGAGAAGATGAAAGTTTGTTGCTGTCTGAATGTACCGACCGGGATGTGCTTAGAAACCGATTTTTTTTTAATTCGTCTGCTAGATTACAAATGTGAACTGAGGTGATTAGCATTTTATTTGGAACAATACGCATTTGTTGGTGGAGTCCTGTAGCTCAGTGGTTAGAGCACTCGCTTTGCAAGTGAGAGACCTGAGTTCAATTCCAGACAGGGCGAAACCTTGGGCAAGTTTCCTTACTCCACACTCCTAATAATAATCCCTCCAAAACCAAAAACAATAATAAATTGGTCATTTTCAATCTACGACTGTTTGTGGGACATTGCTGTGCGCAATTGGCTGCCGCGTTCGCCCACAAATATACAGTCAATTCACTTTACAGTCTATTCTGTGAAGCGCTTTGGGACGTCCTCCCGACGTGAAAAGCGCTATATCAAATGCAAGGATTATTATTATTATTATTTGGACCTTGCAATCTGACAAACGATATTTAAATACTGTTCGTTCTCTTGGTACACTTCAGTTGGGTATGTGTGATTTGACATATGTGAAAAACCCTGTAAGAGGACATTGTTCTGCATTGTGGGCCTTTAGAAGAGTTGCCCTACAATACCCTTTCAAAACCCCTTTGGACAGCATAGTGAAGAACAAGCTTTAGTGATTCAACTGCTGCATAATAAGAGCAATGAATGTGGTAGGCCACAGAGCAATGTGAATAAACCTGAATCCAATTTGTTCAGATTTTACCAGCAATTCACAGGGGATCTGGCTCAATCATGTTGTCCTTCCTGGCAATTCATTCAGGTTTAATTCAGTGGTATGCAAAATTGTGTTTCTATTTAACGAATAGTTGCCATTCAAACGCAACATCTGTTCCATCGTCAAGGATGCCTTTTTCCTCCTCTGAAATGTTACTCACTTTCACTCCTGTCTCACCACATTGTTTTGAAACCTTTGTCAGCTCAAACATTCTACTTGCCTGCCTCCCCGGCTCCCACTTTTAAATGTTTAAATTCATGAACAACTTTCTGGACTGAATCCTGAATCTCCAAGTTCTGTATTCCTGTACCAAGCTACGCTGCCGATGCCTCCCTCGACAGTGTTTCAGAATCCTTGTCTTCATTTTCATATTTCTCCATGCTCTCTGTGCAATCTTTCCCACCCTATATCCTAGCATGTACTTTCTGACCTTTTGACTGCACTTTAATGGTTTTTCCTCAATCTCTTCACTCAGATCCGAGTATTCAGCTGCAACACAGAGTTTTGCTCTTTTCACAAACCACTGGTTTGGTACATCTGGCTTTTTGCTCCTCTCCCTGATTTTAGAAACTCATTCAAGGTTTTGCTTGGTGTTTATCTGTCCCATTGTCAATGTCTGAGACATTCTATTAACCGAAGACTGCAATATAAATTCAGTTTGTTATCTGATGAAAAGAACAATGCTGAAATGATCTTACTAAACGTACACATTCTTCAGGATGAGAGAATTTATGGAGAATTCTAGTGCTTTTCCCTGGTAGATTTGCATGAATATGATAGAGCTGTATGATCCGAATTAAGACAAACTTAATATGATTGTGTTCAGATTGGATCAGAGGTGTAATCAATCGGATTAGCTGTCACTCAATTCTGTACTATTTCATGTGTTATTTTGAGTTGTTTTAGTTGGACTTTATCTGAATTTGACATTAAGTATAACTTTCAACTTACTTTTGCACTGGCTCAGATTTTAGAAGAGCCTCATCCTATTACTCATCTCATTGTCCATACAATCGGCTATTGACTTAAGAAAAAGTATAATTCACCAGTTGAAGTAATTAATAGTAATTATTTACAAACCTATTACATTTTCTTGCAAGATAACAAGTACTGTAAAAGTCTACCAAGAGCAAAATGGGGAGATACCATTATCACAAACTTATGGGTTTACTAAAATATTCTTATTGGGGTTAACATCCTTAAGGATGGACACAAAGCTTCTAACGAGATCAGGTTGAAGGTTGCAATAGGAGGCATTACAACAAGGGTTTGTTATTTTTAACTTTTATTTTACATCTAGTAAATAGTCTGTTGAACTTGTTACCCATTGAATGTTATCCATATTTAAGATTGTCCAGTGTAGAAATTTGAAAGTTAACATTTAGCCTTTTTATGTGAATGTTATGTTGTATTGTAATCGTAGCTATTATCTTGAATATTAGTTTAATTCAAATGCTTATGTTTAGAATTATTTCATCTGCTGTGTTCGGTGGCTATACAATGGCTAAAATCAAGTCTGCCCTGGGGCCATCAACTCTGACTTCATAGGAAATAAAATACATTCTGGAGGAAATTGTTTAGGGCAAAAATTATAATTTAAGAATAACAATAAATGAATAAATTGGATCATAAATCTAGGTCAGACCTGTCTCCGTGGATCCATTTTGCTTTCTCTCTCTCTCTTTGTCTTGCTCATAAACAGCTTGGCGTCAGTATATACTGAGCCTCATTGGCCCCATTTACTCATTCAGCCTCATAAGAAGCATGATCAACCTCAATCTGCAGTGAGCCTATCTCCATGGCTCCCATATACTCACTTTCTCTCTCATAAACAAGTTTGTGGTTAGCATCAGTCTTTAGTGAGACCGGACTCTGGCTCCCATATATACATAATCTACATGATTGTATTTATTCACTCTCTGTCTCTTGCTCATAAACAAACAAAATTAACATTGATCTGTAGTGAGCCTTGACTCCATGGGTAATATTTATTCTTTGCCTCACTTAAAGAAGCTTGGTTAGTGCCAGTCCATAGTCAGGTCTTCACCACTGGCTCCTTTGACTGTGTTTGTCTTTCTCATAAACACACTCACCTTGTGCTGACCACCTATCTCTATGGATCTAACCTGGACGAGTCTGCAGTGAATCTTATCACCACAAACGTTTTATTTGCTCCATTTGTCAAACTCTTTTGTTATCAATGTTGTGAGACCCAGAGCCATGATCTATTGTCATCGTGGACAATTCGCTATCTCCAGGTTCAGTTATTTCACCAACTTAAACACACATGATTCGACTGTGACAAGCATGACACTCTCAATACCAGCTGTTGTGGTGCTGTTTTATAGTTCTGGTACTTTGTCTTTTTTATAACTACTGTAAAGTTTAGTCTATAAATTGCACTGTCTTGCGTGTCTTTATACCCTTTAAATATAGGTGATTGATTGGTAAGCAAACACAGTTGATTGGTTTTCTTTCCCTTTCTCTATCTACTTACAGTGCTCTGTGGCATAAATTGATTTCCACCTCCTTCAATTATCTATTCAACTCATGAAATCATTGAGTAGATCAATTTTAATAAGGGATTTATTTGCTAAGAATATTATTAACCCTTAGCTCAAACATTAGCTGAAGAAGGCAGCATTCTGCCGAAATTCCTCTGTTCACAAATTCTAGTAGAAATGCAGAACTAACCAATTATTTAGCACTATTCCTGAAATGTATACCTTAAAATAACTGGGGGCGATAATTTGTGAAAAATGGGAAAAGACCATTTGAGGATTTTTAAAGGTCATTAAGGAGGAACTTAGCAATTCAACAAATGGTAAGGCAGCGGCATCCAGCACCTATTCCTTGTTTATTGTTGTCTCGCACTGTTTGGACATAGTGAATAATGAGCCAATTAACACTCCTAGGACTCCTTCAACTTCCCTTAAATTGTTCTGTCGTATCCCTGGAGTGCATGTGCATCCTATTTTCACTTCCTATATACAGTGCCTCCTATTTACTATCAGCATTGAACTTCAATTGCTAATGATCAAGCGCTTATTCTTGCAGATCATTTATAGTGGGCGAAGATTTGATATGGTATGTGGCCTTCCTATGATGGACAAATGGTTCACTGAGCTTGTTCTGTGAAGAAAGTAGATGGTGCAGTTATATTCATTTTGAGAGGCGATGCCCATGTTCACTTGGCTAGATATTGAATTGTTATAGTCCGCTGATACAAATGTGGCATATTGAATCCATGTACTATGATCACTTATATGTATGGATACACTTATATACAGTATCACAGAATTAATATTCTATTTGAATAAAATGGTATTTGCTACCTGGTGCTTTCCTCTCCAAAATCAGAATTCACAATAACTTCCAAATTCTCTCTCCTGAATAAATTAACCTTTGGCTCATCATGTTTGCATGTTTGTGAGGGAGGTATCTTTTCCCATCAAAGTTTATTAGCATCACCCATAATATTATTGTGGAAAAAAAAACTTCCTTTGCTGTGTGGTAATGTTGCTGTCCAAAATTGGATTAAAGGATTGAATTATTTATAATCTGAATCCTGAAATATTTTAATACAATGAAATACTCATAATAGAGTATCTCTACATTGGCTTTTAAGTTTTCATTAACGTTGACAAAATTATGTTTATTAGAATCAGATTGGGGGAATGCTGATCGCTCATATAATTTGCTAAGCATTATGTTGGGAAGTTTGCTCTTTTTAACTGAATAGAGGGATTTTCGGCCCAATATTCTCCTGAATTGTCGCCGATCCAATGTGTTATAAAGGTAAACATTCATAACAGTGTCTGATATTTCCCAGTTGTTATCATGGGTTATGCTTTCAAACTGCTAGTCGGAGGCAGACAAGAAGGAAACACAGTGAATAGGGATTTTACATTNAAAAAAGCTGAAAAATGTGCATTGGAAATAAACTAAACTCCCATCATTTATAAAAATAATAATCCTTACATTTAATATAGCGTCTTATCACATTGTGGTAACATCGCAAAGTGCTACACAGGATTTATTGTAGAGTGTAGTGACTGAGTATTTTGTAGGCAAACACAGAAACCAATTTTTGCTCAGTAATATCCCATGAACAACCATAATGTGAATGACCAATTTTAGCTCGGTGTTTTTGGCCAGGAAACCGGGAGAAAATGTTCCCTTTTCAAATAGTGCCATGCAATCTGAAACATGCATATTAACAGGTAGACAAGACCTTGCCTTAGTGTCACATCCCGCTGGACATCACTTCCAATAATGCAGCAATTCTCCAACACTGCAATGGGTTTGGCTTTGCTATCCCTCATCCATTCCTTTTTCATTTAACTTTTCCAATCTTTTGCTTGTCAGCATCCCCAATTTTAGACTCCACATGTTCCACAATCCCACAGCGATTCTTTTCTCCCACATCAGGCTCCACGAATCCACCACCACCCAATTCTTGCCTGGCTCCAATGATTCTCTATCCCCCATCAGATTGATTTTAAGATCCTTGCCCTCACCTTCAAATGGTGAGATACCATTGGTGAGAAAGGTTTCAGTCACTTTGCCCCAGTTTGGAACTCTCCTCTAAAATCATTTCGCCTCTCCCATTCTCTGCTTTCAAAACCTGCACTTCACTCACATTCTGCATACTCCTCTACCTTACTCTTAGCTCCAACTCAGACTTCATAGGGTGCTTTGAGATGTTATCCTACATGAAAGGCGTTATATAAATGTAAATTGTTGTTATCATGAAGCATGTTTACAGACAACTGCGTTCGAGGAACAACCCCACAACTTGCCAGCTGGCAAACTACTGCCTGGTGGCAAACACATGATGGCCTCAATATAAACTCCTGATTATAACCAGGAGAAGCTGCCTTTAAATGGGGAAATTAGAATAAGAGCAATTCATGCAATTTCAATATCCGTTCTCATAAATGGTTGCAGAGTCAGAGAAGAAGTGCTGGAAAAATTACCTGACCGCTTTTTATTTTGTCTGGCAAACATTTCTTCGTGCAGCAGGTGGGAGAAAAATAGAGACGTAAAATTCACTGTTTTTATTCCCCCCCATTTACATCCAATTTTATGTACACCACTCAGCTCACAGAACTTCACACCGTGACCGAAGAAAAAGGTGTGGTGACAAGACCAGTAGTTTATTCCAAGCCTGGAGACAGCGACTCAAAAATGATACAGAATACCAAGGAAATTGAGGTTTATTTTCCTCTTATCTGTTAACAGTTGAAGGCCAGTGGCTGGAGTGGGGACCATGGAACAGGTGCTCAGTAACGTGTTCAAATGGAACGCAGCAAAGAACTCGCAAATGCATTTCGCCCCACAGTTGGACAGAGTGCAAAGGTCACCAGGCTGAGGCCAGGGACTGCTTCAATCCGGAGTGTCCAAGTAATTTCCTTTGTGCTTAAACTTCTCAGATTAATAACAATCTCTGATGGTGATGTAGTGTACTCTGGCTTCCTCTCCAACAGCGCAGCTTCCTGCTCTAGATTTCTGTATTGACAAAAACATCAGATTACAACACACAGTGCCTTTACCTTTTCATACCGCAGTGATACAGGCAACTCCCACCCCTCGATCCAGCACCGCATGAAACAGAGCACTGTATACTTCCCACACTGTTAGGCACAGCACAACGTCCGGAAACATTTTGCAGCTTTCGAGATGAATATATTATCATAGATAACCTGGTAGCAAGGAGAGACGATTCAAGGTCAGATGATGTGCACCGACGACTGAGGTTTTGTTCTTGTGATTGATTGTATCAACTGACTCTGTCTGATTACACCGCCATAACTCACTTCAGTTATTCTCTATACATTGGATATTTACAGCCTACAGCCATTCTGCTGATATTTCTTGGTGTACAGGAGCTTTGGGAGATGAGGTTAATCCCTTCAGAACATTGTGGCCTGTAAAAATCTGTTCTTCATCTGACGAGATAGTTGATAAAACTCAATCGGAGGATGTAATGTGAAAGCCATTTTTCAACATGACAGTGTTAATCAAGGGAGCCCAAATGTCAATTATCTGAATGGTTTGATTCTATAAATAGCTTGATGAATCTTGTGCCTTTATATTCATAAATATTACACTGCCATGTATTACATGCACATTATATTGCATAACAGATTTGGGTAATGGTGCATGGCATGCACAGATGCAAATAAAATATAGGACAGTGAAGCACAATATATTAGATTCCAAGTACAGTATTGTACAATGGAAACACACTGTTAAGAAGTCAGTAGATCGGACTATTTTGCCCTTCTCAGTGAGGTTGGCTCCTTGGTGAGTTTGAGATTTTAGTCACCATCATTTTCACATGGAAAATATACAGACTGAAAAGTGGTCCATAATTTATGTACCCACAAGGTGACCTTTTGATCAGATTACATATACAGGTACAGAATTATTTTACTCAGTACGCAAAGTTCTAAGTTATTTTTCTAATTGTTATGAAGAGTTGTGAACGTGGGTTAAATAGTTAACAGCTAACCATTTAAGCAGAACATGACAGCCTGGCAAAGTACTATGAACAAAAACAAATGCTTGGTTCCCCAAATCTGCTCCAAGCAATTCTGTGGCAACATTTGTTCTTTGATCTCTGTGACATTCATAGGATTTTTTGCTTCTTACAATTGTATGCAAGACTTTGAATGCAATTATTTTACCTGTGGAATTTTATTTTTGCTCTGTTATTCTATGATACGCTTTCAAGGAAGTTTAATGAAGTGGTTTATGGTTAGCTCAATCTGCGTCAAGGCTACTGTTCCCAAAGTATTTCAAATCCTGATGAATTGCAATTTCTGCTAACCTAAGAGGAGATTAGTGAGTGAACATTGACGTTTTGGGATTCAGGTTGTCAAAGATCATTTATAATATTAAATAATCCCTGGATCATTTCTGGTGGAACAGACAGGAGAGGGTAAGGAAGACAATTACTCATAGTCCAAACTTTGACTTTGACAAGTCAAACCCAATGTGCAAATCAGAATTTAAATTTTCTGATTGCCTTCAGATTGCCCACTCATCAAAAGAACTGATTCTGAATTTCACCTTTTCTAATTTTGTGGAGAAATTATTCTGCATGTTTACAATACAATACAAAACTACAGTACAATGCAAAACTACATTACAATACAAAACTAAAATACAATACAAAATTACTTTTGTATAGCGCCTTTCGTGTCGGGAGGACGTCCCAAGGTGCTGAACTGAAGTTTAAAACTGCAGATGCTTTGCAAAATGCAGCGTTTTACCAGATCTGTAAACTCTTTGCAAAGTATAAGACCACCAGCAACAACTCGCATTTATATAGCGTCCTTCACATCCTTTAATGGCTCAGAACACTTTACAAGGATAGGGGTGGAGAGGGAGTTGCTCATAGGCCTGGTTAAAAAGGTAGCTTATTAAGGTGGGACTTAAAAACAGGTAGAGGGGAGTCAAGCAAAAGGAGTAAAGGAAGGAATTTTTCTGGCTGTTTTTATGTTATACTTTTCAATATAAACAACAAATTGCATTTACCTAATGCCTTTCACGTCAGGAGGACGTTCCAAGGTACTGAAAGGGAATTTTGCAATATAATTAATTCCGGTTTCAACTTAAATATGAACTGTCAGGAGACATTTTTTGATCTTATTAATGAGCCATTCAAATGATTAAAGAGAATTTAGAAACATCCAATATCAGAGTCCTGAGTAAACAGATGCACATGCATAGAACTCTGATTTCCAAACTCTGTTTTAATTAGAATTACTGCTCAGTTCCCAGTCAAATGTAAATCAGGACACCTTTCTACCCCTGAAACTGAATTGACCTTAACACCTTTTCCCTCTTCTCCCACACTCACCCCTGGCTCAGAAGATAACTATCTAATCCATCCCCCAGTGCCTTCGCCTCGCTTCCTCCCTTTCCTCCTTCAAGGCCGGTCTCAAGGCCTTTCTCTTTGACCGAGCCTTCAGCTCTCCTCTCGATTCTCTACCCCCTCCTCGTTCCCTCCCTTCCCTCTGCTCACCCTGACCATTTCCCCCCTGCTCGGGTCCTGACCCAACTGTCCAGAGCCTTGGGACGTCCTCCCGACGTGAAAGGCGCTCTATAAATGGAATCTTGTTGTTGTTGTTGTAATCCTCTGCATGAGTGTGTCAATTCTCGACTTTGATTCTACTGCCTAAATTCAACGTTGTGTGAAGCAGCGGTGGAATAAATTGCAATCATTTGTTTTCCAGGGATGTTGGCTTTTCAGGAAGTGATACATTCCTCAGGAAGTTAGGTCTGCAACATTTATCTCTTCGGTAAAAGTAAATTGTGGCAGCACATTTTCAGTTAGTACCCTGGAACTGTAAATTTCCCCCATTTAAACCTTTTAATTGTTTTTCTGATGTCCGTCAAACAAATCCGTGACGAATGGTTCCTGAGTAAGATGGCTCACTTTACCGGCCACATTCCAGGCTGCTGGCATTCTGACATTTTAATCTGTCGGTCTCAATCACTGTGAGTTTTTGTAATTTTTTGAATAAGTTGAGTGTCTGTTAAAGTAATGAAGTGTTTGGAATGAAAGCGGCTGCTTCAGAATGAGATGGAGTGGAACAGGAAACAACTGATGAACAATGGAAGTGAAACAAAGAAATACAGCTAATCTAAGAGAATCTTATAATTGAATCAATTGCTTCTGCATTAAAAAAGAACCCACAGAGGCAGGAAGATGGTAGCAATGCTTTCACGCATTTCATGCTGAGTTGTGCTGTTTGTGAAGAATCTCGCAAGGGGTTCCTGGTCCCTGCTCTCCACCCAGTGAGGACTTAAACCTGCATTTGTTGTACGTCTAATGACCAACTAGTGACTACGTTCCTGGGGATGGGGCAGTTATAAGTGAATTTCCCTGTAACTGAGCCAGTTTAAGGCATGGCTGGCAATGGGATATCAAAATGAAAGCAATCTTTTGGAGCAGTCTGAGCAATTTGGATACAGTTTGGATTTGTAATGGCAAGCTTTGCAGGTATAACTGTTAAACTCTAGCAATACCCAAATTCACACTTTGGGGACTCTGGAGACCAACTAACACCGGGGATAACCCTTGTTCCTCTTCTCTTCATTGCCTCTAGGGCCTGAGAGCCTCTATGTTGTAGTGACCAGAACTCTATGCAATATTCCAGCCTGACCAGAACATTTTATAGCTTGAATACGACATCCGGGAATCTACACTCAACTCATTTTGGCAAAGTGGCCCAGTGTCCTGTTTGCCTTGTTCATTGCTGTCTCACCCCTTTTCGAGCAATGATTTAACCTACGCTACTTAATCTCTTTTAACTTCCCCTTTGGCAAGTTCTATCCCACTCTTGAAGTACACATTTGTCCCATATGGAATACCGTACATTTATTTGTGTTAAACTTAATTTACCAGTTATGAGCCCATGTGTGCACATTCTATCAAGGTCTCTGTACGATCTTTGATGCCTTTCTGATTTTACAGTTCCCTGCAAATTAAATCTGAAATAACTAATTCATACTGACTGGATCTGCAGTTTACATAAGGAACAGGAGGGGTGCGAGTACAGACTCCCAAGGCCACTAATTTCCCCTCCACCTTCACCCCCCCACCACCATTTTGACACAACTCCCCTGACAAAAAGTCTATGCTTCTTAACCTTCACCAAATTCTGAATACAGTGTCTTGTTATCCAGTGGCCACAGTTTGTCAAGGAGTATTTCATATGGTTATTTGTCAAATGCCTTTTGGAAAACTTGATATATTACACGATATGGCTTCCCACTCTCATTTTGGGGTGTCGCCTCCTCAAAAAAGAGTATACAATATTGGTCAGAAAAAACTTACCCTTCTCAACTCATATTGGTTGTCATTTATTAGATTAGTTTTAAACCTGTAATTTTATATTTTCTTTCTGATGATTGACTCCATATTCTTCCAATTATTGAGGTTAGACTAATGGGTCAGTAGTTGTCAGGTATGCTTCTGTCACCTTCATTGAATGTGATGAAAAAACATCTGCCTGTTTCCAGTCTGTTGGAACTTCTCTGTGATGATTGACTCCTTCATAATGTTTATTAGTGCTGCACAAATCTCCTGTCATCCAACGTACCCTAGGATCAGTTCATCCATTCTGGGAGATTAATTAGTTTCAAACCACTTGAGCCTTTCCAGAATCTCAGCTCGAACAATATTTGCTGGATGTTGGAGAGCATAAACAATTAGTGGTTAAAAAAAAATTCAGGAAGTAGTCATTTAATGTGTTTACTACCTCGTGTTCATTGTTATTTTCAACCCCATTTGAATTCCTTAGGGTTGTAATCTCTTCCCTAACTACCCTCTTATTGTATCATGGAACAAATGTTATGACTTTATAGTTGAATTTGCTGCTTTTTTCCTTTCCAGTTACTTTTTGTTTCCCCAAATCTTTTTTTTTTACCTTTCTATGGAGTCTTATAGTCAATCCAGTAGTCATCTTTCCCCCTAACAGCTTTATATGTCTTCCTTTTATTCTTTATCTCTCTTTTTCATTTCCGGTTGATCCAGTTTTGGTATGTTTTTGTATATTATGTATTAAGCACTCCGATACGTAGTCTGGAGTGAAGGGTGCTATATAAATGCATGTCGTTGTTGTTGTTTTGGTTTATTTTGTCCCTGCTTCACTTGGATATGTTCTTATCCTGCAGGTCCTGTATAATATTTTTAAGAATGTCCATTTATCCTCAACTGATTTCTCCCCGAGTCATGTCTCCCTGTCTATGTCTCCTAGCTCAGCCCTCATATTCCATTTGCCTGCCTAAACTTGTGCACTAAAGTTTGGCTGCGGTCACTGATACCTCGCGCAATCAACTATTTATACTCTCTAAATAGTTTTAGGGCTCGAAAGAGAAACACGAGTAGAATTTATGACAAGGTCGTGCTTTCTGTTTTATACTTTAATGAAAACAGTTGGTTAAATCCTTCTCTCCTCCCCAGACAGTCAAATATATCAAATGCAGCCCCAAAGTCAAGAACTCTCTCCTTCAATCCCTCCGTCTTGTCCCCATTTTCAGAACACACCTTAAGACCTTCCTCTTCGACCTGCTTCCCCCAGCTCGCCCCCAGGCTGCACTACTGTTGGGTGCTCTGAGGCGCTACCCTGTGTGAAAAGTGCAAGTTGTTGTTGTGCAGGAGCTGGTTCCCTTGTTGTACACACCATAACAGTACTCAAATGGTTCTGAATCTTCAAACTGCATTCATAGACATACAAGGATTTACCTGCTCTCAAATAATGTCATCAAACTTCTAGGTTCATTATGTTCTCGGCTTTTCCCTCTTTGCTTTACTATCCATTGTGGCAGTGCATAAATTCATTAACATGCTGTGCCACACAACTGCTATTTAATTAGTTTAGATAATCTGATTCATAACATCAGCTGGAATATTGGAATCATTTTACTCAGGAATGTTAATGTAACCATGAACAGGGCAGATCAGGAATTCAAATAATAGAACTATACAATAATCATCGCAACACAGAATCTTTCGTTGTCAGCCTCTTACCTCTGGTGAGAAGATTGTGGATTCAAACTACACATCAGATCTTGAACTCACAGGGTGTAAAAATAGAAGGGGGGTTTTCTTGCAGTCTTGGCCAGCAGTACCTTGGATAAATTGGCCAATCACTTGAATATTTGTGGGACATTGCTGTGTGGAAATTGGCTGCTGCATTTGTTTATAAATACTTCAATTCACTCTTTATATTTTTTGTAAATGCTTTGAGATGTTTCAGCAATGTATGCACTGTATAAAATGAAAAATGTTCCATCAATATTTAAATGATTCCATACCAGAGATTATATCACTGAACAAATGTTGTCACTGGTCGAAAAATTAAGACTATCATTGTGAAATAATCTATACTGAGCGAATCTAGCTTGCTCTTGTCATCTCCATATGGAGAGTGGGGACTGACATGTACCTCATTTTACAGTGTGAAGATCCACAAACAACTACCTCAAACCACGTTTAATACCAAATAGATGATCACATGAAGGTGTATATATTCTGGCTATATCTCAAACTAAGCAGGGAAACTCTTCTTCCAATAAAAAGCTTGCAATCACCCCCATTCAACAATGACAATAACAGAGGTGACATATTGGAGCAAAATGCAAACAGGCATGAACTGGGATATAAGAGCAAAACAAGAGAACTCCCAGGGAATACAAGGAAACATAGAGAGAGCAAAAAAAAGCTTTAAGCACACAGCAAGAGAGAACTAACAGAGAGCGAGAGAGAAGTAACCAACGGAGACAGAGGAATGAAACTGGATGACAAAAAGAAAAAGAAACAAAGAGCAGAAGCTAAAAGGAAAACTGGAGAAAGAAAATTTTATAGTTAGAGAAACAATACAATATTTCAAAAATATTATACTCCTTGATATATAATTAGTCACGTATTACAACATGAAGACTGAATGTTGCGATTTTGGTTTAGAATGTAGTTTGGTCAAATCATAATATTTTAAAAGTTTCCAATGAATTGAGAAAGAGTAATTTCAGGTTAGAATTTGATTTCAAATGGAAAGTCAGAGGATCAGCCATCGTCACTACACCGAAGGGAATTTTAGTGATGTGATTTAATTGATCTTAATGAGGATGCGAATACTGGGATTATGACTCTCACTACACCTGTATGGAACACAAATAGCTACTTTAATGAAAAACATAATGTTCATGGCTATGATGTATATATTTTACATATAGTGTGTATATCACCTATGTGGGATTTAATGCATAGAGTTTACTAAATAACTTTCCCATGTTTGACAACCTCTGGAATCTTAAGCACTGAGAGGCATTCCACCAGCAACACAAGACAGGGTAAACTACGCTAAGCACTAGATATGGCTGTTTTGCTACCGACTGTGGCAAATTAATCATTCTAATATGTTAATGGCTTTTTATTATTTTTAAGCTGATGGAAAATGGGGTTCATGGAACCATTGGAGTTTGTGTTCCAAGACCTGTGACAGTGGCTGGCAGCGACGCTTTCGAATGTGTCAAGGTACAAGTGTCAAAGGATACCCTTGTGAAGGGTCAGGGGAGGAAGTCAGAACATGCAATGAAAAAAGATGCCCAGGTAGGCAGATCACATTTCATGTTATTTTATCTCCACTCAGAGTTCTGTATTACTTTGTAGTCTTTACAGATCTTTATTCACCATATATTTACTTTTGTTCCTCCAGTGCCCTGGCACGAATTTCCAATGTGACGGGCGCGATACAAGTGTAATTTGTCATAATTAAATTCAGTGTGGCCACTCAACTTTGGACAGTCATCTACAATATTGCCAGATTCTGCATGTGTTTTTGAGTAGCAATCCTTGATATACAGTTAGGTTTTAGAGTGGTTCAACCTCAACGCTGTAACTATACCAACACCATCTGGCAAACCCAGATTCAAAACAGTTTCTGCAGCCCTTTTATCAGCTCAAGCAGATCAATTAGACTAGCACCATTGTATGTTTTGATTAGCAAGAAATTGTGAATTCCTTTTTAATGTATTTTCTGGTTCTTATCTTCAGAGCAGTCTGTGCAACATCAAAGCAATATTGCAGTGTATATAAACACAACCTGGAAAGTCAGGCTTCAGTTTACTTAGATCAAGCAAATACATTTTTGGATAACGCTTCCACGTAAATATAGTTGTATGTTCCCCTGAAGATCCACCCACTGAGATTACAGTTTTGCTGTTTGTACCTCTATATTACATAGAACCATTTAATTGTTACATTATTTAGATGTCATTTTAGTTGCTAGTACTCTCTGAGTCAGAAGGTTGTGGGTTCAAAGTCGAGATTAATAAACCAGTGCAGTGCCAGGAAGTGCTATGGTGTTAGAGTTGCAATCATTTGATGACATGATAATCTGAGGTCCAATACACTTGTTCAGATGAACATTAAAAGTACTTTATGGTTGTTTGTGGGAGATTGCTGTATGCAAATTAGTATACACAGTCACTTCTCTTTACAATAAATCCTGTGTAACACTGAGATATTTTGATGTTGCGATAATACATGGAGAGAAAGCACATTCCATTCCAATACACATCCATGTGTAGGTGGGATGCATGGAATTCTCGGTTTGATTTGGATACTCTTAAGCATGGTGATGTGTTTCCCCATGTGTCAGACACCCGGCTAATCAACAAAATAAGAAGTATTATTTTTTAACAAGCTTCTTATTAAAAGCCTTGTAAAAATCCAAATGACCACACCCACAGCATTACCTTCATCAATTCTCTGAATCATTTTGTCAAATCCATGATGTCTGTCTTCAATCGGCTCATGTCTTTCTAAGTGGTTATTAATATTATCCTGTTTAACATCCTGTAAATGTTTTCCCGCAGGATGTTAGGCTGACTGGTCTACAGTTACTCAGCTTATCCCATTCTTCCTTATTGAACAGAGGTGTTATGTCAGAAACCCTCAAGTCTTCAGGCAGACCATTACACCACACAATCCACCCCTTCTACGGGTGGGCTTTCAGCTATTCTGCTCCACTCTCTGGAACTCAATTACGGAGTCCCTCAGAATCTCTTTCAAAGCCCACCTCAAGACTTGACTTAACCTTTTGACTGGACTTTCGGTCATTTGTCTCCTCCCCCAACCTCTTCAGTTTACATTCCTGGCTCGGGTGCCCATTCAGCAGTGTAAAGCGCTTTGAGAGTTCTCCCAATGTAGTTCTTTATATAAATGTGAATTGTATTGTAAAACATTGTACCAAATATTATTCAAAAGATTGCAGTTAAAGTATCTTTCTGACCTCTTTCAGGATCTTCGGAGTTTCACTTTGAGTTTTTAGTTCACTATAATTCTTGCATCTCCTTCGCTGGTGTATTCGTTCCTCACTATCACACTCTTCTTAAATACAGACAAAGTACCCATTCCATATCTGTGCTATACCCTTACCTTCCATGACTAGATTTCCCTTTTTGACTATAATTAGACCAGCTGCTCCTTTATTCTTTTGTTTTTTATACATTTATAAATACTTTGATACTTTTCTTTATGGTTCCAGCCAGCCTTTCCTCATCTCCCATCTTGGCCCTTCTGATTTTTTTCTTTACTTCAATTCTATATTTTCGATACTCTGCCTGGTTTCTTATCTTTTAAATCTTATTTTCATTTCTCTATTCATCCAAGGAACCACGGTTTAACTTTATTTCTCTATTCATGTAAGGAACCATGGTTCAACTTTACTTGTTACTCATAATCTGCACCCTATTCATCTCATACTTGTTCATCTATTGTTCTATCTGCCAGCTTTTCTATCTAATTTATCTGTGCGAGCTGTTTTCCATCCTTCATGAATATGTTTTTTCTACTCGAGTACCTTTGTCCTTAGCTATTTTCCCTCTTTTTATTTGTTTACATCAAATCTATTAATGTGTGGTCTCTGTTTGTTAGTTACGCACCAGCTCTCACATTACTCTCTTGTCCCATTTCATTTTCTAGAATAAATCATTCTTTCTAGATGGACTGGAAACATTCTGATTAAAAATAATACTCACACATCAGCAAACTTCCTTTTTTTAACCACTCAAATATTCTTTGACCCAGTCCATTTTAGGATAAATCAAGACCTAATTTGTATGATTCAGTTATTTCTGCACATCCCCCGAACTTGTCTACAGATCTCTTGCTCCATCTCATTTCCACTGTTCAGTGATCTATAATACGTTCCCAACAGATTACTACTGCCCTTTGATTTTCTATCCAGATAGATTAAATCTTTTCACCAACACTTCATCATCCATATGTTTCAGTGCAATCTTTGATTAATATTCTCCCCCATCGCTTTTTTCCTACTCAGTCTCCTAAAAAAGTTGGTAACCAGAAACGTTAAACTCCAAGAGTTGTTTGGATTAAACCAAGTCTCTGATTGTGCCGAGACCCTACAGAGGAGAGCGACTAGCATGATCCCAGTATCAGAGGAATTATGAGCAATAATTAGACAAGCTAGGGCTCTTCAGTCCTTAGAGAAGAAAACTGAGGTAGGATCTCATAGAGATTTATAACACTTTAAATGGAATTGAAAAAGTAAACCCAGAATAGTGCTTTAGGATAGAAAACAATAGGACATAGGTTTAAAGTTGCAAAGGGCAATTTCAAGACAGATACTAGGATTTTTGCTTTACTCAGAGGATAATTATCAACTGGAACGAGTTGCATGAAGGTTGAGGCCAGGAATTTGGACTTGTTTAAAAAGAAGCTTGATGCTGTGATGATGAGGGACAGCAGGGTGGGTGTTCTGAAGTGATGAAATCAGATGAGTTGAACGCTTTCTTCATGCAAACCAATTTTGTGATCTTGATATCAAATGCAAGGTTTATTATTATGATTGCATCAATGAAACATGTCAAAGATCTTCACAAGATTTTACTGTACAATTTTGTGATTGTATCCCATCAACAGAGAGTTTACAAATAGCAATGTCCCACAAACAACCATGAAGTAATGACTAATTGTACCTGGGGGATTGTTTGCCAGGACTCCAAGCCAGTACTTACTTTAAAAATGAGTTAAGCAGTAACACCTCTCTCAAAGGGAAGTCACATTTAGTTCCACTTATTCCGGACAGTGATATTTGGATTCTTATTTATTGCGAGAAATTGCTTATTCCTCAAGACTTTTAAGCAATGCAATTAATTGTGTCTTTTCTGCAGCTCCCCATGAGATGTGCAGAGATGACTACATCATGGCAATGACCTGGAAGCGGACTGCAGCTGGCGAACTCGTCTATAACAAATGCCCTCCGAATGCAACAGGTAATATTGCAACAGTAAGGATACTGTGTGTTGAGGCTATCCTTTCCTGTGCATTTTTCTTTCCGGTTCAGACATAATCATCAATCTCACATAATAATGACTGTATTTGTACACTTGAGCAAAGGAGGAGATAATTGCACACCCAAACCCACTAAAATTCTAAATGAGATTACGCGTCTAAAAAGAGTTGTTTGGTTGCTAATGTTGGTATCATCCTTGTGAACCCATGCTACACTCTCTCCATAGGAAGATTATCATACTGAGCCAAAGAATGAAATGGGTTTAATCAGATAACAGTCATTATAGCACAAAAGCATGTTAGAGTACAGGTGAAATGTATTCATTAGTGCATTATAATTCACACTGGACGTAGAGCAAATCATCATTAAGGAATATAAATGCTATGTGTTTCACACACTGCTTGTCGAGGCAGCCTGACTGTTTAGATGGAATCAGTGAGTTTAGAATAAACATTCAGAGCTGAACCTTTGACATTATTAGGTATTATTCTATTCTATCAGATTGTCATTTGGGGTCTAAAATGAGGCAATTCTTTAGAAATTCTGCCAGGTTACAAGAATTGCTGTTAGAAATGCTCCATTTTAGACTCCATTGTTTTGTTTGAATTCTTCAGAGAGCTACCATCTGAAGTTCACATTAATACTATAGGCTCAAATTACCTCAGAGAGCCTTCAATGCTGTTTTCACGTGCATGTTGTGTTGCCAAATAGCTGCCCGAGTTACTCCAACATGACACATTTTTACTGCTAATAGGTATGGGTAATAGCTATGAGTAAGTGATTTCATTGTGAACTTGCAGTTCCTGCAGAAGCACAATTTACTAAGCATCATCCATTTAAAGTCAAATTGTTTCTATGAGAATGTTATGATGCACATAGCCATTCATATTCTGTAATGATATTTTGCTCCATGTACGTGGTGTGAATTTTAATATACTGATGAATGAATTTCTCCTGTGCTTTGTAACATGCTTTTGTGCTGTAATGACTGTTTAATTCAAGTCATTTTATTTTTGCTAAATATTTTCCTGTAGATGATTCAAGGTCATTTGGCCAAATTATATGAGCAGCCTGGAATTACGAAGCATTAGAGGCTGTGGATTTGTTCTTGTGATTCCCAATTTTTGCAGAATTTTAGGAGATGGCGAGCTTATACCAAACACCTCCTGGGATGGGAAATGAAAATTAGTTAATTAACTGAATGTCACTCTTGCCTGCTGATTAAGACCACATGCTTTTAGAGAAGCATAGTAGCCGATAAGGTAAAACGATTCAAGTCCACTGTCTTGAAATAATGCTTACATTTTATATAGCTCATTTCACATTGGGAGGATGTCTCACAGTGGTTCGCAGGATATACTGTAAAGTGTAAAGATTGTATTTGTAGGCGAATGCAGCAGGCTATTAACACACAGCTATGTCCCACAAACAGTCGTGCAGTGAATGTCCAATTTTATCTGGGGGCTGTGGCCAGAACAGGGAACAATTGCCATCTCTTTTTGAATACTGCCATGTTCAACAACAACAACAAATTATATTTGTATAGCGCCTTTCATGATAGGAGGACGTTGTACCAAGATGATGGGAAAATGCTGATTACAGAATAATACAATATGTGTAGTGCCTTTCACCTCATGACCCCATAACAAACTTGACATTGCTGGCTGGGCATCCGAGATAAAGGTGGAAGTTGACGAGGGTGGGGTGGGGAAAGATAACTGAAATCATGGTCAAAGAAGTACGCCTTGAGATGGGCCTTGAACACAGGGAGGGGCTCTAGAATGAAGTTCCAGAGAATGGGCAGAATGACTGGAGGTCGGGTGGATAGGGCAGAGGACAAGGAGCAGGACAGTGATCACTGAATCAAGGGATTAGCCTGGTTGGTATGTTGTAGGGGGCCTAGAGTTTGGGTGGGTGGGGGCGGGGTGATCCAATTTTAAGCGCTCTGAGAAGGGCGCTGTATAAGTGCAAGTTGTTGTTGTGACTGAGATGCATGAAAACACCAGCATGGACTTTGTGGGACCCAATGGTTTAGTTGTGTAAGAATGGACCATGAACTACGTGTGCCTGAAGCTGTTAAATATATATTCGGTGTATATATACTACCTATTTACTATAACAACGACATGGTTTGTAGCCGGCCCACAACTTTCTGAACCATAAGCTGAGGATTTATTGGCTTGCTGCTCTCCAGCATATTCTAGTCATGGGTATGTTTCTTTAGCACCTTTATAAACTATGTTTTTTTCCCCAATAAAAATGCAGCTTTGTGTGAAAAGATATTAAATTGCACGAAGGCAATTCAGTTGGAGTTCCAGTTGGAGTTCCAGTTCTAAAATGTCAGTCCTGACAATGCCATGGTGTGATCATATCAATAAAGTAGATTTTTAAGCAAGGTCTAGACATCAGTTCATTAAAAATTGAATGATATTCAGTGCGTTATTGAACTCTGTGAGAAGGATACAAACCTTGCACAAAACATTGCTGAATGTCTGGCATGATTGAGGAGTACTGGGACAAGGGCAGTTATTATAGTTTTGTACTGTTAATGGTCAGCCTTGCTCAGTTGCTGGCATTCTGAATCATAACCCTGTAGGTACAAGCTCAATTTCAGGCATTTGAGCTCACATTCTTACTCACATTTTACCCAGAATATACACAGTCAATCTACTTTATAGTATATTCTGTGAAGCGCTTTGAGATGTCTCAACAACATGATAAGGTGCTGTATCAAATGCAAGAATTATTATTATTGTTATTATTGTACTACTCCAGAGCAGTGCTAGTGGAGCGCTGCAACATCAAAGGTATCATTATTTTATGACGCATTAAATCAAGTTCCTGTCTTTCCATTTAAATGGATGTTAAAGATACCATGACACTGTTTAAAAAGAAGAGAGTTTCTCCCAGTGTTCTGATCACCAATTGGTTATTCACTTCAGGAAAACAAGAGAAGCCGATCAAGTCTGTTCCACCAGTTTATTAAATGTTGGTAGATCATTTAATTCCAATTTAACTCTCTTTTGCCTTATTATTAATCACAAGATCACAGATCGGTTTAAATGAAAAAGGGTTTTTGGCCTATCCAATCTCATCTCTCCAGAACAACCACCTGAAAATTAAACTGCTTTTTAAATAAGTCCCACTGTCTTGGCCTGAATGACCTTTCCTGGCCACTTGTTCCAGTCATTGATTATCCTCTGCGTAAAGAAAAACATCATGGAATCTGTCCTGAAGTTGCCCATTGCAACTGTAAACCTGTGTCTTCTTGTCATCGTTATTTGTGAGGCATTCATATGTGTAAACTAATAATAATAATACTTGCATTTGATATTGTGCCTTATCATGTTGTTAAAACGTTGCAAAGCTTTTCATAGGATACAGTGTAAAGTGGTGAGACTGTGTATTTTGTGGGTGAATGAGGCAACCATTGTGGTACAGCAATGCCCTACAAATAACCATGGAATTGGTGACCAATTTTATCATAGAATCATAGAATTATACAGCACAGAAGGAGGCCATTCGGCTCATCAAGTCTGCACCGGCTCTTTCAAAGACCTATCTAAATCAATCCCACTCCCCACTCTCTCCAATAGCCTTGCTAACTTATCCTCCCCAAATACTTATCTGGAAGATTGTTGGCCAGGACACCAGGAGACACTCCCTTCTCTTTTTGAATAGTGCCATGGGATCTTCAAAGTCCACCTGGACAGACACAAAGGACCTCGGTTTAATGACTCATCCAAAGGATGCAGCACTGATAACTTAGCCACCCCAGCACTGCAATGGAGTCTCAGCATAAACTATATGGGTTACAAGTCCCGAGGTGGGTCTTAAACCCACAACCTCCTGACTCAGATTTGTGCTACCAATTGAACCAGATTGATACACATAATAGATGCTAATTTGCCTACAAAATATTCAGTAGCTAGACAGCAAATACCTGTGAAATATGTTGGATGTTTAAAACTGAAGAGGTGCTGTATCAAATGCAAGAACTATTTAATTGCAACGATTTGTATAATTTTGCTTCCTTTGCGTATTGCATAGGCTCTGCCAGCCGCAGATGTTTGCTGAACACTCGCGGAATCGCTTTTTGGGCCCCACCCAGTTTTGCCAGATGTGTGTCTCATGATTACAGGCATTTACACATAGCGGTAAGTGAAATTTATTTCCAAATCGATTAGAGTTTTAAGAAGATGGCATAAACACAATATCATTTCTCCATAACTCTGCAGTTTTGACATAAGAGTCATCAATAAATTAAAAGCCCATTATCTGCTGTAGTTGGGACTGACCCATTTGTGAATATGGATACGGTGCAGATAATAATAATCCTTATATTTGATTTAGTGCCTTTCTCATCGGGAGGACGTCCCTAAGGGCTTCACAGGATACACTGTAAAGTGTGATGACTGTGTATTTTGTGCACGAACATGCAAGAACATAAGAAATGCTAGACGATAAAAGATCAAGGTCCATCTCGTTCGCCTTTCACCTTCCTGGTGGTCGCATGCACATATGTCCCAAACTACCAATGACCTATATCCTAACCGCAGCAGCCAGTTTGTGGACAACAATGTCCTGCAAACAACCATAAAGTAAATGACCAATTTTATTTGGGGGATTGTTAGCCAGGGAACTGGGAGAGAGAAACTCCCTTCTCTTTTCGAGCAGTGCCATTGGATCTTTAATGTGATCCGATCCTGAACAGGCAGAGAGGGCCTAATGTCTCAACCGAAGGACAGCACCTCTGACAATGCAGCACATACCCCAGCACTGGACTGGAGTATCAGCTGAGACTTTGTGAGTCCCAAGGCCCAACCTGGGTCTTGAACTCATAACCTTTTGACTCAAAGGAGAGAGACTTACCAACTGAGCCAGTTTGACACACCGCAGGCAAAAGTTGCAAAGGTAATGTTTTACTTAAAAGGAATATTCCCAATCCACCATGTCGGACCTTTCTACATCAGCAGCTGCGGCATAGTCATGGCAACTTACACCAGTGGTGGTCTTAAAACAGACAAAAGTTCTGGAAAAGAAAAATAATCTTAGATTATAGTTCTAAGCATTTGAAAACTTGCTGTACTAAAGAGATACTCGCTTGACTTGTTATCCCGGATGCTGTCAAGTGGGAAACCTTTCTTTCTAACGAGACACTTTAACAAAAATGTAGGAGAACATTGAAATTTTATTATTGGATCAGAATTCATAAGGTCACAAGAAAAATGAAGAAGATTTTTTAGCTCATTTGAACTCATCCAGAATACCGATCCCCTCCTAAATTGTTTCTTACATGACTCAATACCCTGGTCTCTATCATCCATCTCGGTAACATTTTCCAACTGTTGATTAATAATAATATTAATAATAATAATAATAATCCTTGCATTTGATACAACACTTTAACACGTCAAAATGTCTCAAAAAACTTCACGGTTTTATATAAAATGTAGTGACTGTATTTCGTAGATGAATGTGGTAGCCAATTTGTGGGACCGATGCCCCACAAATAAGTGAAGGACCATTTATTTTTATCTGGAGATTTGTTGGCAAGGATACCAAGAGAATCTCCTTTCTTTTGTTAAACAGTGCCAGGGGTTCTTTAACATCGATATGATCAGGGAGTCAAGATCTCAATTTAATGTATCACCTAAAGAACCGCATAAACACTATAGTGCGCCAATGTACTGCGTTAATAATAGACATGATAATAATAAATAATAATAATCCTTGGATTTGATATTGCGCCTTATGTTTGGAAGGACGTCTCAAAGCATTAACAGGTTTTACTATGAAATGAGGTGACTGTATTTGAAGGCATCCGTGGCAGCACAATTGCACAAGGAGTTGTTCCGCAAACAGCCATGAAATGAACGACCAATTTTATTTTGAGGATTGTTGGCCAGGTTACCAGGAGAAATTCCCTTCTCTTTCCTAATAGCGCCACGGCATTTTTAATGTCCATCTGAACAGGCAAACAAGAGACGTCTCAAAGTGCTTCACAGAATATACTGTAAAGTGAATTAACTATATTTTGTGGGTGAAAGTTATTGTGTCTGTTGTATCTAGTTAGTGTTGATAGCTTTTTATGACGATCAGCCTCATTGCTCATCTATATAGTAATTTGATCAGAACACCCCCCCTCCACACTCCCCCCCCCCCCACAATTTGCAGTGGCCAGAATTGTACACAGTACCTTAGATCTAACATGACCAGAGTAATTTTAGGATATAAGGTCTAACAACAACAAATTACATTTGTATAGCGCCTTTCACATCAGGAGGACGTCCCAAAGTGCTGGTCAGTCAGGAAAACGCATCAAGATACACAAATAAATCATAATTAAATGTCATGATTAATTAACTTCTTTAATACAATACATAACAGTAATAAAAACAAATCGCTTTTTTTAATTTATGAAATGTAACCTGCATTGTTTAAAAAAGTTATGGGGAAAAAAAAGTAGAAATACAAATAAATCAGGGGCACTGGAATTTAAAGATTTGACAAATCACATGAGCAAGAAAGTAATTTAAAAACACAATTGAGCCTGGAGGAATCTTGACACCCTCCTGTCTATTCAAGTGGAACAACACACGCAGTTCACCACTGCAAATGATTACAAGCATCATGACAAGCTGTCTTGTGCTGTTCGGAAGCAACAAAGAACTTGCTACTTTAGCAATTAAATGAAATAACAGCCAAGTAACTACTCTTTTTGAAAAGATTTCACCTTTGTAGGTCTAAGATGACAGTCATTTTAGCCAAAATGCCAGCAAGGCTTCTTCAAATAACTTTCATTGTCACAAGTTGACAATGCAGAATGAGCTGGACTGTGTACATTCATCATCTCCAAAGAGATGCTACAAGCCAGATAGTTTCCCATCTGACTTGTGGCATCTAAACTGGCTTCCGTTTTAGCTGGAATCATGCAATGTAACAATGACACAGGGTCTATGCCAGATACTCGGAGAGTTGTATCCATCTTACTTATTTCAAAGGATACAGGTCCCTAAAGTGTGACTCTTACTCTGAACAAAATTCAGAAAGTTCCAGGGATTTCACCCAACAAAGATGAATCTAGAAGACGTTTGCCTGTTTTTCTCACGCAAGTTGACTGGAGCTTTCTTCACGTTTCACTTGTGTTCGAGTGATGCAGCATATAAACAGGCTATTCGAACAGGGTTGAAAAAGTGCAGAGAGTGACTAAATTAGAGTGGCTAATCCCTTCTCTCCGCTTGGATCAGCACAAGTTATCCTGTGTGCTGCATCCCTGTCTACAATGTGTGCTGGGGACTTAGCAGATGACTCCATGAAGGTTCTTCCAATAAGTTTAACGACCCTCCAGCCCCAGGAATTGGCTGCCAATAGTAGATACATATGGGTTGTATTACACTCTAAATTTGGTGTTGTTTGAACATTACAACAGATTAAAAAAACTTCTGCTGATCTAAGAGATTTTGACTCTCGCCCTTATACATTCTCAAATTTGTTTTTGCTGTTCCTCTGTACATTTATTTGCAAACTGCAATAAATTGACAATAAATTGTCTGTAACTGCAGTTTACACAAATCCTGGCTCAATCAGAATATGTTTTAGCAACATAAAGCTGTTTTTATCAATTTGGCTGCAGTGAATTTTACAACCAGAGCTGGGGGCTTTTACACCACATTTGCGAGTTCTTAATGTTTTCATCTTTTCTAAATACAATCTAAATTCGTCACTTATTTGTTCTTCTATACCTTTGTTGGATGGATCTGAAATGGCTAACTTTCCGCACAAGGGGCAAGCTATTCTTTTTAATTTTTGAGCAGGAAGAAGAGCCAGACAATCTAGTGAGTGATTCTCTACTCACCAGTAAATTTACTGACCTTGGCAGGCGAGAACATTGTATTCTCTGCTCGTTGGCAATTTTCCCGACAGTGGCACTGTGAGCTTATATAGGATCCTCAGAGAATCACCCCCAGTGTGTTATTTTCATTATAATCAAATGATTTACCCATATGAGCAAACATAAAAAATGATTTGCCAATATTTTTGTGGGAATATCATGTACCCATCTATCTGCTGGGAAGATTGAACTAAACATTTTATTTGGAACTAACTGAGGTTTTCATCCTCGTGGTATTTCATCAATTTAAACTGTAATAAAGATACAGTTGAGCCACATTATTGTGAACTAATGAGAACCGGCAAGTTCTTGTTCTGTCGTGTCCAGGTCTATTGATTTGAAGTACAACTTCTCCTTTTCCATTTTGATGCCTACCCATAAAAAATAGTTTCTCAAAATAGATTTCATCTGAATTAATGTGAGCATTAAAGAGGAGATCACCCAGAATTCTTGAAACCTAATTTTCTGCCTTTTAGATGCAGCATTTGAGATATCATTCTGTCTATCTTTTGCAGCTCGCACTCAAAATAATAAGCTCTGTCCTGTGTTTGGAATAAGCAAAACATTAAACTCTAAGAACAATAGTTAGTGTAATTATCAGGCATATTTATTACTTGTGTTTCTCGAAGTTGTTCATTTTCATGAAATAATTGAATCCATTATGAATCACTTTCTTATTTCATTTGTAACTGTGGTGTATTTACACTTCATTTAGAATCAATCTAATTTAGAATCAACAACATTTTAAATGTGATGTATATGATGATAATGTACCAAATGTGAGTATCTGTGTACTATAGATCCGAGAGCACCTTGCCAAAGGACAGCGGACCCTGGCGGGAAAGGGGATGTCACAAGTTATAAGGACTATGCTGGATTTAATGGAGAGAAAGAGTTTCTACAGTGGCGATCTCTTGTTCTCTGTTGATATATTACGCAATATTACTGATACATTCAAGAGAGCCAGCTATATTCCTATTTCTGATGATGTTCAGGTGAGGGATTTTATCGTATACAAAATTTAACTTATGATGTTGCATGCAGTAATATTTACGGAAGTATTTCCTTTCTGGTAACCTTCTAAGAGGAAAATATTGTGACGCTACTGCAGAATCTTATATCATATTCTTTTATTCCTCCATAGCGATAAACTTTGGTACCCCTTTACGTCACATCACTTCTGCTGAACTTAGATAGCTGTCCCTATTGTTGAGAAAAATAGAAAATGAACTAGTTTGTTAACAATTCCATGGATAATTGACCATAAACAGCTGGCAGTGTAATTTGGCAAGTAATTCAATAACACGGTTCTTTTGACATTCATAAATCACTCGAGTTTCATTCAAAGTTTATGAAAATGTTGTTATCAAATCGGCTTCTACCACCCTTTCAGGCTGTTTCCTTCCTTGATGGACTGGAAACATACTGATCCAGAAAGTTATCCTGCACACATTTCAGGAATCCTTCCCCCTCCTTGCCCTTTACACTGTTACTTTGCCAGTCTATGATAATTAAAGTCCCCCATTATCACTACTTTTGCATCTTTCTGAAATCTGCTGCAGATTGGCTTATCTATGAAATTATCATTGTGTAACTCATTGCCAGTTGTCTATTGTCCTGGGGATTTGTTTAATATGTGGTGGTAGAAATTCTTGTTGGTTTACCTTCACGCAAGTATTATTCTTCATCTCCCATCTCCAGCTCTGTCAGTCTGAATAATCATATTATACAATACAATTAGTACAATTTCCATATGCACAAATGCTTTTTGTAATTATTACTAATTACATTAGTTTCAAAATGTGTTTTTTTCCTCACACCCAGGCTTACCCAGTTAATATGAAATTAGACTCTTATCTGAGATGATTTTCAACCTATTGATTTCAATATGTAAGAATATTCCTTTTTTTGTTTTTCCAACAGAATAGTGAGAATAAAGAAAGGGTCCTATCAGCGAATGTTATCTAGTGGGTAGGAAAGTCCTTTTGAAACGATAATAACTTAAAAAGAGAGTGGTGTCAAATTAATAGGTGAATTTTCTTTGTGCTTTCTTTATTTACTCAGAGATTTTTTCAAATTGTCAGCTACATGCTTGAAGCAAAGAACAGGGCTAAATGGGGTGATGCACAGCAGGTAAGTTGGTGTTACCTATTAAAATAATTGCTGCAGTGAATTGTAAGAATAGCAGTTCAATTAAAAAAAATACTGTAGCTGCAGAGAATGTTAAGCCACAATTGCAATATTGGTGTTTTATTCCACACAGATTTCACCTGGTTCAGTCCACTTGATGCGGGTGATTGAAGACTTCATCCATATAGTTGGTGAGGGACTGAAAGTGTTTCAGAGTGCCCTGATAGTAACGGATAATCTTGGTAAGTGCAGCACATATGAAAGACTCATTATGTTCAAGCTGTGAAAAACATTTGTATTGGGAGATTTTTCCAAACTATGAGCCAGTTGATGTTCAATAGAGATAAAATAATAGACTTTCAGTTTTAGAGTGGGTATACTCCTCTCTCGCAGTCTCTGCAAAGTTAAATAGTTTAAATGAATATACTCTCATAATTCATTGGTAAGTTTACACTTTTATTATGAGCAATGCTAAATAACCCCACTCAACAAATCTGAATAAGTTAATGATTCCTCGTGTGTTTTTGCCATGTTTTACCCACAAAATGTACAGTCGATTCACTTTAAAGGATGTTCTGTGAAATGCTTTGAGACGTTTCAATGATGAGATGAGACGCTATATCAAATGCAAGCATTATTATTATTATTATTATTATTATTATTATTTGTGGAGTCCTGTAGCTCAGTGGTTAGAGCACTCGCTTTGCAAGTGAGAGACCTGAGTTCAATTCCAGGCAGAGGGCGAAACCTTGGGCAAGTTTCCTTACTCCACACAGAGCCTAATAATAATCCCTCCAAAAAACCAAAAACAATAATAAATTGGTCATTTTCAATCTACGACTGTTTGTGGGACATTGCTGTGCGCAATTGGCTGCCGCGTTCGCCCACAAATATACAGTCAATTCACTTTACAGTCTATTCTGTGAAGCGCTTTGGGACGTCCTCCCGACGTGAAAAGCGCTATATCAAATGCAAGGATTATTATTATTATTATTATTATCACTGCATCAAGCTGCTTCTTAAATGGGTTTAGTGCACTGTCCAGTGCCTTGGGATGTCCTCCCATATCAAATGCAAAGATTATTAATATTATTATTATTTTTTCAGTGACGAGTATTCAACGAGAGCCTGTGTCTGCTGTGTCGAGTGACATTAGCTTTCCTATGAAAGGCAGAAGAGGAATGAAGGACTGGGCGAGGTCCTCGGAAGATAAGCTTTTCATTCCAAAAGAGATTTTCATGCTTTCTTCTTCAGGTACTACCACTTCTTCCTGCCACTTCCCAGTGTTACCGAGTGATGTCTGCTATGGAAACTGAACGTGTTTGCATTCTTACTTTGTCGTCCTGGCTCATTTGGTAGCTTCTTCTTTGCCAGAAGGAGTCAGAGATTGTGGGTTCAAGCACCAGATCAGAACTTTAAACTCACACTCTAGGTTGGCACTCCAATAAACTGCTGGGGGAGCACCTCGTTGTTGGAGGTGACATCCTTCAGATGAGCCATTAAACTGAGGTTCCATCTGCCTGTTCAGGTGGAACTTAAATATCCCATGGCACTATTCGAAAAATAAGCAAGTTTCTCCTGGTGTCCTGGCCATTATATAAGATTGGTCATTTGATTCCATTGCCGTTTGTGCACAAATTGGTTGCTGAATTAGCCTATAAAATCGCCAGTATTGTTCAGCACCTTACCTGTCCTCCCAACTTGAAAGGGCGTTATATAAATGTAAATTTGGATTATTATTGTGCACAGTGAGAAACCAAGAATGCCGAGAATGCCAATCGGCCCATTGAGTCTGCACTGGCTCACAAGAAGATCACTTCAATCCCACTAGTCACCTTAGCCTCATAACTCTTCAAGTGACTCCCTTTCATATACCTGTCACTGTCATTCTTGAAAACCACAAAGGACTCCCATCTGCACTACCTACTCACAGGGCAAACCACATCCCAACAGCTCTCTGTGAAAAAAATTGTCCTAAATTCTCTTTTTGCTAGTCTTGTAGCTATTTGATAACTCTGCCACCCTTTAGTCACTGACTTTCATCAGTAGAAATAATTTCTCCCTGTTTACCCTGACAATGCCCTTCATCATTTTTTGTACACTTCTAAGATCCCTTTCAACCTTCTCTGCTCCAATGGAAACAGACCCAGCCTTTCCAATTTCTCCTCATAACTGTAATCCTTCATCCCTGGAATCATTCTCGAAAATCTCCTCTGCATCCCCTCTAAAGGCATTAACATATTTCCTGGTGAAGGGCACAAAACTGGACACAGTACTCCAGTTGTGGCCTAACCAATAATTTATAGAAACTTAGCATTATTGCATTGCTTTTGTACCTCATGCCCCAGTATAAAAAAAACCAGCAGGCTATCAGCTTTCTTTACAGCCTGTGCCATTTGCAATGACACTTTCAAAGACTTATGTACCTGTGTGATTCACTTTGAGACAGCAACCTAATATGAAAAGAATTATATCAAATCTAAGAATTATTATTATTATTACTACCTAAAAATCCATCAGCACTCTGGAGACGCTTTCTTTGTTTACAATACCTAGTCCTTCTGCATCGACAATTATAGAATTCAATAATAAATCTACACCAGTTCATTGGCTCTCATTGGATTTATTTGGAAGGTAGACAATGTAATAGCTCTGTTTCAAAACCAACTACAGGATCAGCTGAGTTATTATAGATTAGTCAAACATTCATGGTGGGCAAATGTGTAGAGGCTATAAAACAGGATAATATTAATAACTACTTGGAAAGACAGTCAGCATTTGTTAAAGGTCAGTCTTGCTTTACTCCAATAGAGTCCTTTGACAAAATAACCAAGAGAATATATTTAGCAAATGCTGTAGAGGTGGCATGGATTTTCAGAAGGATTTTGATAAAGTGTCACATCGGAAGCTTGTTAAAAAAATTAGGGCGTCTGGTGCTAATGGAAAGGCGGCAGCACAGACTGAAAGTTAGTTAAAGGTTAGAAAACAGAGGCTACGGATTGAGAATAGAGAGATGTAAACCGTGGTGGCCCCCGCGGGTCAGTGTTCGGACCACTGCTTTTCCCCATTTATGTAAACGATCTGGATTCCAGTATAAAGGAAACAATTTCTAAGTTTGCAGATGACGCGACAACAGGGAATGCAGCTAACAATGAAGATTGTAAGCAACTTCAAGGGCAACATAACAACAAACAACAACAACAAATTACATTTGTATAGCACCTTTCATATCGGGAGGGCATCCCGAAGCGCTGGGGAGTCAGATATTTGTACCCGAGCAGGCGATTGGGATCAGGAGGGGTGGAGGGCAAGGAGGGTAGGGGTAGGAAAGTGACCGAAGGCATGGTCGAAGAGGAACGTCTTGAGACGTGCCTTGAAGGAGGCAAGATGAAGGAACTGTGGGATGAAGTTCCAAAGGGTGGGGGCAGAGATGCTAAAGGCCCAGCCACTGATGGTGGGGTGGGCCAGGCGGGGGATGTGGAGTAGGCCAGAGCATAGGCAGATTGAGCAGAGAAACGGCAAATGAAACTTAATGCAGACAAATGTGAGGTGGCTGAGCTTTTCCTATGCTCCGAACCTCTTAAACCTTTGCTACCCCTCTCTTTGTGTTCAATATTGTACGATCTCATACGTTTAAATCTATATGTAGATAATTGCCAGAGAGCTTCTCTGTCTGTGGCACCTCACTTAGTTTCATTACCGGGCCTTTTCTCGATATCTCTTAATATATTTATCAAGCATCTATCTTTCTCTCTCAGTGCCTCCATCAGTTACATTTTTGTTCTTCTGAGGCATTGTGTTATGTATTTTAAAGACCTTAATTTTAATGGCTGAGTAGGTAAATGCACATGATAGTGAGGTTCTGAAATGTTTGGAGACTTGGAAAATCCAAGATTCAATCTCTCTGGTCTATGTTGCATTTACTTTGGATAGCCAGGGTGATTGGCCTTTGAAGAGAAAGATATCATCAAGATTCCTGCTCCAGATCACAGACTGTGTGCTAGGTTGGGAGAGGAGATCCTTGGGGGACTGGGATTTTTTTGAAGGGGTTATTACCCCTGGAAAGCGATCCACCAATCGGCTAACAACCGGGTTCCTACTTACTGCTGGGTAAACAGAGGCGTGTGGAGTAAGGAGATTGGCTGTGATTCTCCTCAAGGTTTTTCTTTCCCAGCTCCCTTTAAAGATGTGAACTATAGATAGGTTTGGCGAGGCTGAGCCCCCTCTAGCTCCAGCCACCCACCTACTGCCTATGAACGTGAGATACAGTTTTCCAAAGAAACAACTGAGAGAGATTGAAAGCTGCTCCAGCTCTGCTTACCCTTATAGCTTTACATGTCAGAACTGATGTTGACCCTTCAAGTGCCAAATTCTTAAGTTATTCACGAGTTGCAGTGTGGTAGAAGTTCAAGCTTCCAAAAAATCAGAACTTCGGGCAGGACAACAACAACAACAACAAGATTCCATTTATAGAGCGCCTTTCACATCGGGAGGACGTCCCAAGGCGCTGGACAGTTGGGTCAGGATCCGAGCAGGGGGGAAATGGTCAGGGTGAGGGGAGGGAAGGGAGGGAACGAGGAGATTAAAGAGTCAACAAAAAGGATCAGAAAAGAGGATAATCAAATCAACAAATATTCCAAACCAAATCGTAGCTGGTATAAAGTCTGAGTTGAAACTGGTGTTAGAACTTGAAACAGACTATTTAAAAAGAAGCTTCAGAGTGCAATCAATATCTACTCAGCAAGCATTGAAACACACAAGCGGATTGCAGTTTCCCAGCACTAATTAGTTTCTTTGCTAATTTTGGTACCAGGGTGAAATATAGCACCATCCTTATCTAGCCACAGTGCATGTACAATGCCTCATGTGGACAAGTGAATATCAGCAACAAATGCTTTGCATGGTTTCTTAAAGGCAAATTGAGTAACACATCTGACTTTACATCTTCTATTATTTTTCTTTAACCTGCTGGCTTTCTTAGTATTTTGTGTCCATGATCCCTCCCGTTTAGAACCCATCATGTTCCACACATCATTTGAACACCCTTATAAAACTAGAACACTATTCCAGACTCAGAACACAGCACAGAAACAATCAGCTCAAACATTTGATAAAAGGAATCCTGGCTCAATAGGGAGATTCAGATTTCCGACAGAACACCTGCACACAAAAACAACAAATCGCATTTAGATTGCGCCTTTTAAATTGGGAGGACAATCCAAGGCACTGGAAATCCAAGAAATTGCACCCGAGCTGTGGGTTGGATTATAATAATCCTTGCATTTGATATAGCGCTTTTCACGTCGGGAGGACGTCCCAAAGCGCTTTACAGAACACACTGTAAAGTGAATTGACTGTATATTTGTGGGCGAACGCGGCAGCCAATTGCGCACAGCAATGTCCCACAAACAGTCGTAGATTGAAAATGACCAATTTATTATTGTTTTTGGTTTTGGAGGGATTATTATTAGGCTCTGTGTGGAGTAAGGAAACTTGCCCAAGGTTTCGCCCTCTGCCTGGAATTGAACTCAGGTCTCTCACTTGCAAAGCGAGTGCTCTAACTACTGAGCTACAGGACTCCACTTTCAAGACAGGATTCAAGACAGGTGGGGATCAAAAGGTTTGGGGATTGTGAAGATGACCAAATACGCGGTCAAAGAGGAAGGTCTTGAAGGAAGATCTTGAAAGAGGCGAAGTGAAGGGATTCTGGGATGAAATTCCAGAGGGTGGGGACAGAAAGGCTGATGGCCCGACTGCCGATGGTGGGTGGCAGGCTGAGGGACGTGTCTTGAACGGAAGCATACTTTCTCCAAAGGGACGGACCCTGCTTTCCGAATTCCGTAGATTATCAGGCACAGATTGGCAAGACAAAGCTTGGGGACCCTGGGTTGTGCACTGTGGTACTGTTAGAGTTAACCCAACTAAAACCACATAGATTACAATTGAAGGCAGTGTTTGTCAAGCTTCCTGCTGCTTCTCCAGCTAGGTAAGGAAACTTGCCCAAGGTTTCGCTCTGCCGGGAATTGAACCCAGGTGTCTCGCTTGCAAGGCGAGTGCTCTAACCACTGAGCTACAGGACTTCTGCATGTGTCAGACACACAGCTGACCAAAACAAATGATTACGCACAGTTTGTCTTGAATATTCCTGTGTAAAACTAGAAAATTGTATGCTTCATTTTTGTGTACTAAAGGATGACACATAGTGCAGTATTTCCAAATACAGCAATGCTAAGAAGATCCACTCAGAACTCTTCATGAGGAACAAAATAGAACCACTTTTAAATTCCAATTGCTACCAGCCTTTTGCTACCAGCTGATCCTGTCAAAAGGCTCCCTACTGTTGTTCATTTAACAGGAAACTTCATTATTTCACAATTGGTTGTTGTCTTGGCAGGAGTGGAAAGCAGCACACCGACAGATTTGGATGATATTTTAGTGCTGGGAACTGGATTCTGCAAAGTTCTAATAATCAAATAATAATAATTGCATTTGATATAGCGCCTTATCATGTTGTTGAGACATCTCAAAGCACTTCACAGAGTACACTGTAAAGTCAACTGACTGTGTGGCAAACGCAACAGCTAATTACACACAGCAGTGTCCCACCAACAATCATGGAACCAGTGACCATTTGTTTTTTTCCTTCACATACTTTGTGAAAATGAGAGAACATTGCAGACACAACTCTGTTCCTTGCCAGCAGAATATGCTTAGGGCTCTTCTGGGAAAGGAGTAAGCTGAGAACATTTTCCCTATGTTTATAATCCTTGCATTTGATATGGCACCTTATCACATCTCAAAGCACTTCATATAATATATTGTCAAGTGAATTGACTATTTTTGTGGGCGAAACCTCTTAAAATCCTGTCTTTGCAGCTCCTGCAAAAGATTTATTTTCTCAACAACAATAATAACAATAATAATATTTTAATGATGACTAGACACCCCTCCATGAATAAAATGGCTCCATAACCTTTGAATTGAATTATAATGTTCAATAGCAATATAAGAGGAACCAGATGGATTTTACAAAATAAAGGGAAAAAAACTGCCGACAATAGGTTAACCCTAACTCGAACAATAACATGTTGATTACTTATTCATAACATTTTAAAGCTGTTTCCATTTAATCGTTTCCCTGCTGTAGGAAATTCGAAATTCCAACAGAACATGTTGAAAGAATTCATATTGTTTCACCCACAAGCTAGAGAGTCACTCCTCTTTACATTATATTCTGTGAAGCGCTTTGAGAGGTCTCGAAGACATGACAATGGTGGGTGGGATGCCCATTTTAAGTTGGATTGATGAAAGTGGCCTGCATCCCCTGGGAGTTTGGAAAAGTTATGTGCTATTTTGAGTAATTGATGCAACAAGTTGAGGGGGTGAAAGCAGTTCCAATTACCAACTTGCTCATAGGCAAGGTGAGAATTAAATAATCAGTCTAGTCCATGGAGGGGGTGGATTGGAGAGCACGGAGGTTGATATCTAGTGTTAGAGGCATAAAATATAAATTCTAAGGAATCATTAGATAACCATTGGCTATTCAGCCTTGAAAAGTGGACTGTATTGGAATGGATATGGAATGGACAAGATGCTAAATGTGATAATCACAAAGTAAATGTAGAACATACACCAAGACAACAGGACCAGAAGGCTATACCTAGAGGATATTTCTAAACACAAACTGGATTACCAGAAAGGGCAGCAGAAGACAGGAAACTGGGATACTTTTAAAAAAAATTAATACTGCAAAGGAAGGAAAGTAGGGAAGGCATTCAAAAGGCATTTTCATCTTAACCTCTATTCCGATCTCGTGAACAGTTCTGTTTTCTGAAATACACGAAACAATCATCTTAGCAGTTTGTTGAGAAGCGAATATACCTGGAATTTGAAAATGAAGTTGATTCCTCAGTTTGAGAGTAACACATAATTGAAAATACCCTATGACAAAACTGTTTATTGCTAATACAATTTCATGCCTCTGGATTTGTCTACCAGAGGAAGAGTTGTTCTCCGTATGTACTGTCACATCTCTTCGTTATCTTAAACAAATTAATCAGATCAATCACCCCTTCACCTCCTGAGCTCTTGGGAATTATAGAATTTGTGTGTGGAAAATCAGATATAAGAAATGATGCCTCCTCAGATTTCAAACATTTTATTGAAGTCTTCCAAAGGTCTGAGAAAGTCTTCAGGCAATTCCTTTGAAAGATTTATGGATCTTCATAAGGTTTCACTAGGTAATTATAGTATTAGACAACATAGAGAAAAATCACTATCCAGAAGGATACACTGTATATTTGATAACTGTTTGGCTTCCATGTGGTGCATTAGGATCCCAAAGCTGCTGAATGGCATCTATTTCTGAGTTAGCTGCACAGCTGTATAAGTTATAACTGTTGTAGGTTTAAATGAATTTCAACTGATGTAACATATATGTTATATTCTGAAGTTCTTATAGACAAGTTATTAACATGTTTCCTCTGTTGAGAGATTGCGAAAGCTTTCTTCGTAACGCATTGCAAACAGTTTACTTAAGTCACTGTGTGGCTGTCACTTGGGTCAATGATACCATCTATTGATCTGCTGATCTTACTGCCCTCTGTGGCATACTATGACAATAGGCATTTAAAAAGAAAGCAATTAATACCCATTTTATACTGCTCTTTTTACAGCAAATCAACTTGAAAATTATGCTGATTTACTGGCAGAAATATAATAAAGTGGGTTAACAGCACACTGATTCACACTGGAGCCATCTGTGGAGATGAACTTCATCAGGTCAATTCAGATTGTCACAGTATAATTCCAGCAGCCACTCAATTAGTCCTGCTTTCAAGGGACCATTTCTGATCTTATTCAACAACACTCATGGCTATTTAATAACATCAAAAAGCAAATTGTTCTTTGGTGACTGAGCAGACTGAACAGAGCAAATGCTGTGAAGCATTTTGAGATATTGTAATGACTTGCAATTATGGATTATTATTATTATTCTCATGGACATTTTGCTGGGACTTTGCAAATTTATATGACCTGGAACCAGTGTCATTTTTTATTGAAAAAAAGCCTTAGCTTTCTGATTCTTCGGTCTTAAACTCTTCTCCCTGGTTGTTCCATTCGTTTCAGAATCATACAACTCAGACTATTATGTCATTGGAGCTGTGCTGTACCGGACACTGGGTCTCATTCTACCTGTTGCAAAGTAAGTGGATGCAATCCCTTCATTATTCTGTAAATTATTAGATAAAACTAATGGCCAACAGTGAGACATGATGAACATCGCCATGCAAGACTGAACTGGTGTCTATTTACAGTCACCATCACAATTAGACATGCCTTTAGTTCTCACTGATGGTCATAATAGTTCTTATGTTTATACCACACAATTCTGATACATTTTAAAAACAAATGTATGGTGTGCAATTTCATGTTTGGTGAAACAGGAACAAATATCTGTTGTCCCTCGATCACAGGCGACCATGGTATGATGTTGATTATTTATACTGTAGAATAATGTATTTACAACTCGTTTGGTGCGTGCATCACTTCCCGCTCTTGACATCCACATTTTGATTGACACATCTCTTGCTTCATTCTGGTGAGAGAATACACTTGGTAGTTCATCACCCTTGATTTAGTCAGGCCTTTCACAATTACAATTGAGCTGCATTCTTATACGTTGTCACCTCTAGCGCTCTCACCTCGAGCTCAGACGATTGCAGGCTCAATCCTCCGAGAATTGAAGTCTTAGCGAAACAAATTCTGGCAGCCAAATGGTTAAAGAGTAAAAGTGTAGGATTGTTTTGCCGCATTTCAATAATGTACAAATACTGCATGATCAGCACTCAGTGCCAATAGCACAGTGCATCAAGTGTGAGGCATCATAATCAATCGCATCCTGGCATAAAAAGGGTCCTCCTATTAGATAATAATGGAGTAGACCAAGGCTGACAGAAATAGCAACAACGAAAGGGGAGGGGTTTTGCAAGGCTGGAATACAGATTTATTGAAGAAATACAGGAATTTGGCTTTTATTAAAGAATGCACTTGCAAACTATACTGCTCTCTCATGCTGTGAATCGTGCTTCCTTAGGGCCTGTATTATCTCTCCTCTCAACCATAATAATAATAATAATTCTTGCATTTGTTATATCGCCTTATCGTGTCTTCAAGATGTTTCAAAGAGCTTCACAGAATATACCGTTAAGTGAATTAACTGTATAGTTTGTAGGTGAAACACAGCAGCCAGGTGTTTATTTGAATCGAACCCAGGTCCTCTCGCTTGCCAGGCGAGTGCTCTAATCATTAAGCCGCAGGACTGCACCATATCAATTGCTGCCCAAAACGAGAGTAAGATGGGATAATTACAGGCTTTATTGCATAGATTGGTGCATGAAAAGTGCCCTTTATTGCATAGCATTACCATATGAAGTGTGACCACTTCAAATGGAAGGTTACGCAACATAGCTGGGCACTAACAAAAGGCACTTTCTGGCACAATGCAAAACGCCTCACTCACATTTCTTTGCCATGAAAAATCATGGCACCTTCAATAGTTCAATATATTGGATCAATGTAGCTGAAGATTTGTCTGTGTGCAGTGTAGTGTGAAAGTTAATCCTTTGATAGTCCACGTGAGAAAGAAAATTTAACTGGGACTTCACTTCAGGTACTACTATCTTCATTTATGCTGTGTAGTCTTTCTAAGTCATTACTGAATATTATAATAATCCTTGCATTTGATATAGGACTTTTCACGTCTTCTAGACGTCTTAAAGTGCTTCACAGAATATACTGTAAAGTGATTTTTGTGGGCGAAACGCAGCAGCCAATTACGCACAGCAATGTCCCACAAACAGTCGTGGATTGAAGTGCCCAAATTATTACTATTTTTTTTCTTGAGGGATTATTATCAGGCATGTGAAGTAAGGAAATTTGCCTAATGTTTCGCCCTGCCGGGAATCAAACCCAGGTCTCACTTGCAAGGCGAGTGCTCTGACCACTGAGCTACAGGACTCCACAAATTACTGAAGATAGCTTTGTTGATTTCTTTGTTGCTCCTGTTAGAATGCTGTTATCTACTCCATCATAGCTTCCACTGAAAATCAACCAAGCTATTGTCATCAATGATTTGAAAAGACTGTACTCAACACTAAGTGTAGAATACCTTTCCCAATTTATAATCCATAAATTCACCTCTTCAAGGCCAAACGTGCAGATGAACACATCATTATCATCACATGGGGGCTCTGCTTAGCCTGTTCAGGTGTATGCCTTGAAAGTGTGTGATTCATTAACAAATAAACAGAAACAGTGGTGAACCAAACACTAGAAAAGATTATCTTTAGCTCAGTGGTTTGTCTTCAAACAAGCTGTCAGACATTTCAGATCTTTTTCCTCCAAGAAACAGCATATAGCAAAACGTTGGTCATAGAAAATCATAAAAATTCACAGGACAGCAGGAAGTCAATCAGCCCATCGAGTCTGCTCCAGCTCTCAGAGCAATGCCCACTACCCTGCCCTCCCCCCATCAAGTCGTGTAGCTCAGTGGTTAGAGCACTCGCTTCGCAAGGGAGAGACCTGGGCTCGATTCCCGGCAGCGCGAAACATTGGGCAAGTTTCCTTACTCCACACACCTGTTTACCGAGCAGTAAGTAGGAACCAGGTTTTCGTCGCAACCTCTTCAATCTCTCCTCATAATTGTAGCCCTTCATCCCTGATGCCATTCTCTCTAGTGATAATGACTCCTAGTTCACAAATGGGATATTCACACACACAAAGAGCAAATGACTCCCAACATGAATAAAACAGGATGAATAAAGATAAATTAAACCCTGAAAAGCTTAAATGCAAAGCAGATCAGTCCAACCTGTCTTTCTCTGTCAGAAGCTAATTAATCTGCATTGTCTTTCCAACATTCTGTATTTTTATTTCAGGTTTGCAATTTATTTTTACATGAACTAATTGATTGAAAATTCAGCCTGGGGATGTAGAAAAAATAATTTTAAATGTTTAAAGGAATGAATTAAAATCATGCATACTTTTCAAAAGGTGCCATAAATCCTTTTTGAAAACTTGGCTAACTTTTCTTGTGTAAAATAAAATCCAGTTGAATTTAAATGCAAAGAGCTGGAGCTGTATTAATATTGAGTTTAGCCACCTTGCAGTAGATTGATGACAAGCTGATTTGCAAAACTGTGCTCTGACCTAAAGTGGTAAATTATATCCCCAAGCTTCAATTTCTATAACACGTTCAAATTGATGAAGCTAGAAGATTACACTGCTTCCAAATATTTCAATACAATATAGAACACAAAATGTATTTTGTTTTTTCCATTACTTCATTATTCTCGCAGTCAATGTAGAGAGGAAAGAGATACACTAAATTGTATTTTTATCAGCAGAACATTATCAGGGCAGATAAGGCGCAAGATTTTAAAGAGAATTTCTTTCTGTGAAAAGACACAATGAATGAAAGATTAAATGAGCCTTTCTTGATTTCATTCTTTGTGATGTGTTTCCAGTTCTACTAAATATGTGTTTTATATAAGCAACTAGGTAATACTAGAACTCTCTCCCATTAATATTTTCTGATTTAAGAGACTGTGTGAGATAATTGGTTAAAACACTGTCCAATTAAATTCTAGCCTCAAAGTGGCAGAGACAATTAAGAACACATTTCAACCATCAATTCCCAATTATTTCCCAATATTATGATTATTTAACAGAGACATACAAGAATGGTAATGGATTTTTTCACTATCGGAATGCTGAGAGTAAGATTACAAACAGTAATTTTATTGAACTGTTCAGCAAATGTCACAAATTGCAAAGACATACTCTGTCAGTCCACAAATGGGATCCATTCCCTAGTCTCAAGCGATTTCCTTTATTTGATGCAGTCTGTGTGAGTTTTAGTGTATTGATAATCCAAATTTTTTACCTAACAGCAGTCTCCGAACGCCAGATTTCAAAATGTAGTCGATGTTATATGCAAAACCTGGTGATTTGTTCAATTCTCAGGTCACTTTGAAATCATATGTGAAGTTGTTGGCCAAAACTATTTTTCTCCATCTGTGGAAAGTGACCCACTTCCATTTCTATCTCATTCCCCAACAGTTGAAATGTTCATTCATGCACGTCTTCATACTTCTAGACGAGATTTCTCAAATAATCTGCTCACTGGCCTTCCCAGCTCCACTCTCCACAAACTCTAGCTCATCCAGGATATCTGTATTCCCCCATACTAGACAATGATCCCCATCTTCACCAAGCACAACTGACTACCCAGTGGATTGACTTCAAGATCCTCAACTTAATTTCATGCCCTTCAAAATCTCTCCATACTCCTGCCTGACCTACCTTGCAATCTCCTCCATTTTCATTCCAGGTGACTCCATTTTCCAGCCCACTCCTTGACTCTCCAAACTTGGAACTGCTGTCCATACTTTGCCTAGTCTATCTGACCTTCAGTAGCTGAGCTTTGGGCAACTATGGAATATTCCACTCCCTGGAATTTCATCCCAATATGCCTGGCACCTTCTCTACCTGTTTTCAAACTCCTCCTAAAACTTACCTCTTCAACTGTGCTTTTGGTCACCTTCGACCTATGCTCAATAACGCACACTATTCTTGAAAAGCACTTTGTGACAGTAACTTTGTGAAAGGTACTAAATACGTGCATGGCGAATATGTGATCTCCTCACCAAAGTATCATTGATCATGACATGATTATTACAAGTTTATGAAATGACGACTAATGGTTTGTCCCGATCCTGTGTGTTGTGTGAGAACCGTAGAATAACATTAGAAATGAATGGTTGTGCATTCTCATTTATAAGCATTTACAATTGTCTGACACAGGAAAATTCAATGTGCTGAGCTAAAAACAGCTGACTATTTAATTTACTGGTAATTATGTTATCAAAGCTATACATAACAGAATGCAACAGTTGAAAGCTTACTTAGAATGAACTACTCCATTGTGGGCTAAGTGGCCATTGGAAAGATACAATGATGTCTGAGTAGCTTAATGCCTTTTGCCATTAAACATATCACTCAGCATATTTTGTTCCAGTGCAGTGCCTTGGAACGATTTTCTTCTTAAGTTAAAGACTCATGCTGGGGTAAAATTCTACAAGTGTCAACCATATTTCCCTCAACTGGCATTTTTTCCTGTATGAAGCTACACAGTGAATATTC